TGCTGTTGGTGTTGTGAAATTTGGTAATCGATTTCCATTTCTATTTTTTCAACATGGTCATCTTCAACTTCAACGTTATTTATAATCTTTTCGGTTCCTTCATCATCATCTTCGTTGAAAATTCTCACCTACTGGACAGCAGATTCACGAAAAAGGGGTTCCATTTCTTCATATCGTTTGTAAATACGTTAAAAATTATCCTTACAACAAAGAAAGGAAATATGTATGGTATTTTAGCTTTGTTATTGATAAGGAAGGTCTTATTTTTCTATAATTGAGATTGAATTGGTATCAACTTGACTTGTATCACTTAGTGCTTCCAGAACATGGCCCAATGTCTGTTCTTGCAGGCATCTGCCACCAGTTACTCAGAGCCAGACGTGACAATCTTGCTTCGAATCTGTATAATATCTCAGTGCATTCCCATAGCATGTGGTAGCTTTGAGAGTAGCTTTTTTTTTGATATTGCCTTGGTTAGTTTGATTCAAATTTAAATGTAAAAATGTTTAGTTTAAGAATCATAATACATGTGCGCAAAGGGCGTGGCAAATAATGAAAAAGTAGTAAAAGGATCGCCAATTTTTTTCACCAGAATTCAGACGTAATATATATTATATATACATTTCGATATATAAAAAAAGGGGCAAATCCAAAGGAAGGTAATATATTGTTTTTATTTACATAATGAAGGTAAACAGTAAAAATAAAAGAATAATAGTTACAAATACTTTGATAATTAAACCTCGATTCGAACTGATATTTGTATAATACTTCATTAATTGATGTTGAGCTCCCAACACATTCATTTCAATGTCGTCTGTATTCTGATCAATCCTATGTATATATACACGTAAGTTTTTTTTCCTCTTTTTTTTTAAAAAAACCACTTTACCGTTGAATAGTCTCTCGTTGTTCGGCTACCATGGTAGCCAACTGAGAGAAAATACCCCCTAATTCGGCAATTGTGCTTTCAATAGTTTCCATGGCATTGGAGCGAGTCTCAATACGACTGTCCTGCTGTTCCATCATCATCATTTGCTGTTGCTGCTGTTGTGAAATCATGGGTATGCCTAACGATTGTGGCGAATCATCCACGAATGGCGGAGATTCTCGATGTGGATGATGAGCAACATTCACTCGCCGACGTGGTTGCTGTGATGCCTCTTGGTGTTGCAAAGTAGGCGATGGATTCACCTTGAATAATAAATGTCAGCCTCTTGCACTCTTTTTGTAAATGCATAACTCTACCTGTGATTCCAAAACGTCCTTGAATCCTAAAGAGGTATCTGCTAATTTTGTTTGTAGTGACATGATGACATTATTTGTGTGTTCTGTCGCTTGTTTGGAACTGGAGGATCTTTGTTTCGTCACAGATTGTAATATTTGGAGTTGTTTGTTTAATTTTGTGATATCTTGTTTAATTGATTGTGTCAATATCTATAGAGATCGAAAAATAAACGTTAAGCTTTTTTTGTTTTCGCATAAAAAAAAAGGGGGGGGGACACTTGCATTTAATGTATGGCTATCAGCCGATGATCTAGTAACTATGTAAAGAAAAGAGTTAGTAAATAGAAAATATGTGAAAGGGAAGACTTACGGGTGGTCAATTGCTCTAATTTTTCGGAAGTGGCGGCAATACTACGACCTAATTGTGCAGCCATTCTTGCAAATTCAGAACGTGCTTGAGGTGTTCCCTGGCGCTTGGGAACAACCGGTTGACTTTTGCCTCTCTTCTTGATACGTTCTACCAAATTATAAAACTCTGATGTTCTATCTTTAAAATTCATGATGAAGGAACAAAAAAAAAGGTACAAAATTAAATAAAAAAGAAAGGTCACTGCTTCTCCCCCCTTTATTGCGCACTAACACCCAAAAAAATCTTTTTTTTTTTAAATAATAATGGACACTTTACAAGATGTTTTTAAAGGCTCAGCCTCCAAAGATGTGGACTATATTCAATACTCGATTTACTTACCACCCAAAGAAACGTCTGCTGCAACACTCGATTACCTAAACGACACACTCCTCATGATTCAATCACACATTCAACCCATGATCTCAGGTTACATTTGGCAAAAAGATTGCTTTTTTCTCTCCATCGCACACGAGCAGCACGGCGATCCCGATTATCCTTTCCTCTTTGGCATCTCACGATTCGGTGACTGCATCAATGACGAATGGTTCATGGTACACCTTCTTCAGTCTATTTCCACACTCCTTCCCGAAGCCGTCATCACCATCGTCGACAATGACGGTGACGTACTCCTCATCGAAGCCGCTCTGGCTTTACCTCACTGGCTCGATCCATCCAACAGTCAGAACCGTGTCTACTTACATCAAGGCAAGGTTCACATTATACCTCTGGCATCATCACCAGCCCATATCTTACAAAACCCTCTTGCCGGTCATTTGGCACGTCAAACCGCTATTCACCATATACGTCAACACAGACCCATCGCTTCCTCAGCTGTACAAGCAGCTATCAGCGAGCGTACCTCTGTGTACCCTCTCGCTGCTCGTAAAGAGCGTCATCGCGCCTACTGTCAATTACCCACCAAGGCAGCCTTTGTCTTGCTCTCCGAACCTCAACTAGTGACATTAGCCATCGAGGCCTTTTATCTACGCGATCCCATTTCCTTGAAATCATGTGCACGTATGCAAACTTTCTCGCCTGTCAACACGGTAGAAACAACCATCCAATTCACTCGAACCACGTATGCACAAACTGTCAGCCAAAAATTCTACGCGCCCAAACCTTTTCGATTACCCTCGATCTCTCAAAAGAAACAATTCAAGTATGCGGAATTAGGGATGAAATTGGCCTGTGGATTAGAAATGCTATACCATCAATCGAGTACGACAAGGCAGGGAGACAGCCATGATTTCTCCCGAGATAAAAAATATACAGCATATCTGGCCCATTTAACGGGATTAGGGTATTTTCGAAATGAACGCGCCGGATCCCAATTATACAAGTCGTTGGAACTCGTTTGTCAACAGCAGTATCTGGCATTTCAGCAAGGGCAAAAGAAGGAGAACTATGTGGAGTTGGATGACTTGGATGTACAGGACGATGATTTATTTGAGGGGAGTAGTAATGTTTTATCGGATGGATCCTGTGTGCGAGATCGCATCGATGCACTTTTACAGAGTTATTCAGATGAGGCATTAGAGGCATTGATAGCACAGACATTACCTGAAGAATCGGATGATTGGATGAACGTGGATCCTCAACAATTGGAAGAGTTGTTAATGAAACGTATGGGACATGTCAAGGAGAGCATGATGGAGGATTTAGCTAAAGATTTTGCACAAGAAGAAAATGTGGATCTGGAATCAATGATGTCCAACTTAGAAAACTTTGTAGAGAATAAGAAAAGTGGTATTGATGGAGTGGATATGATGGATGATGAATCAGACGAGGAAGACACGGATGAAGAAGAAGAGGAAGAGGAGGAAGGTGCCATTAAGTTTAATATGGAAGAATTTATGCGTATTCTCAAGGGCGATAAGAAGGAAGAAGAGTCGTTTAGAGATGTGATGCAAGAAATGGATGCTGAAATATCAAGTCACGATAAATTGACCCAATCTTTTGAAAAGACAGTAGAAGAGGATGAGGATGCACCTGTGGATGTTCAACTTAATTTGGTCAAAAATGTCTTGGAGAGTTTCAAAAGTCAACAAGGTTTACCAGGTCCTGTGGGTAATCTTTTCAGTCAATTTGGATTTGTACTTCCAGGTGATAACGAAGAAGAAGAATAAATTATTAGGTTTTTTTTTTTGTGTTTTTTTGATGTTACATTATAATAAAAAAGGTGTGTAAATAAAAAGTATGGGGGGATGGTGGTTTAAGGGGGAGTGAGGGGAAATTAATCTTATTCAGTAACAGTATACATGATCCTTTGTCTCCTTTTTTCTCGTTCGTCTCTTCGTTTTTTCTTTTCAATAATGGCGAATAAATCGTCATCTGAATCATCTTCATCGTCCTCTTCTGAATCTGAATCCACCTTTATCGGTGTTAATTCCATTGTCTTGTGCTGTGTCACCATACGTGGTGCTGGTAACGGTGGCGCAGTGTGAGATACAAATGTAAGTGTGTGATTGGGAACTTCAGGGTTTGGTGAGAGGGTAAACGAAGTTGGTGCAAAATTAAATTCATCAGACCCTATTCTTCGATGCTGTTGTTGTTGATGTTGTTGTTGATGTAGTTGATGTTGTTGTTGTTGATGTAGTTGTTGATTAGGGTGAATAGAATGAAGTGATTTGGTTGATCGATGTCCATTTTGTTCATAGTAAGAGGATCGATTAGTTGGATCTACAAAGAGAGTTCTGCCCGCTTGTGGGGTAAGTTGTGTAGCAGTACTGATAGGATTAAGCAAGTCGGGTGTGGAGGAAGATCGATTGAGATAACCATTTGACATTTTAAAGCCAACAGGAGGTAGGGTATTACGTTGATAGTCGGGTATAGTATGATTGGAAATGACACTACTACCGGCGATGGATGTAGGACTGGTTGCAGTTGAAGAGGAGATGCGTATATCTGCAGATGTGGATTGCGATCGCCAGGAAGAAATGGATCCTAACGAATTATTCGAACCTGAACGTCGAATCATTGAATTGTTATGTGTTTTAATGAGTGTAGGTGAATTAAATGAACTATTTGAATGCCTTTTCAGCTCTGATCCATCTTTCCAGTCATCGTCTTCATCGTCACTAATCATGGTAACGCCCATATTTTGAATGATATCCTCATCATCGTCATCATCAATCGGCACATCCGCTCTAGGCCAAGTACCAATAACAATGGGCAATTCTAGCACAAGATTGGGTTTCTTTTTATTCTCAGTGAAGACCTGTGCTCTTATCTTGTAATGTATCCTTAAGATCTTCTCCTTGTAACATAAACTGGGTGGCGTTGTTCTTATCAAAAGCTGGCTGGTGATCGACTGTGAGAAATTGTAAGGTCCAATGATATTCAGATCAAATTTGTTGGATTTCAACACACGTTCATCATCCACGGTATTTCGAGGGGACTGTATCTTTACTTTTCGCACTAATTCAATCACCAGTGATTCCTTTTTTACAAAGCCTGCAAATGTGTTTACGACAATATTGACTGGGATCGTCTCGCCTATGTTTTTTTTTATTGTTTTGCTAAGCGTTAGTATGAGGCTGAGTGGGGTGGCCCAATTTCTTTTTAATATTACCTCGTGTGAAACCGGTTCTAGGGACAGATAATTTGGCGTGACATTTTCCTTTGGAAGTCATGACTTCCTTCTGTCTTTCAGAAGGACGCACGAAATTATCTCGAGTGACATCGACGTATTCCATGACCAAGACTGGATATTCGATTTTGGGACACAGGCTTTCTGGCATCATGGGCCTATCCAAAATCACGGTCAATTTGTAGCTGATCTTGGCCATCTTGTTCTTTCCAAACTAATATAGTATTTTGGTGTGTTAAAAAAACAGTCATATAATAAGAGAGTATGTATAAAAACACTGTACATCCATGGCGCTCGGCAAGTCATCAGGTACAACAAATTGGAAGGGAAATGAATAATTCTTGACTTCAAGCACTTTCTTGGGTTCCAATACAGGTATTGTCTTTGTTTGCTCAAATAATGTCATGCTTTCCTTATCCTTGGCTGCAATTAATAAGCACCCAGAAAACTTTAGTGAAAGCGAATTCACCTTCATGGAACTCTTGGGCTTTACAAGGATGGACCCTATTATTTCCTTTTGTTATTCAACAATTCACCATGTTTTTTTTTTTTTTTTTTTTGGCAAGTGTTTACCCTGAATGACTTCGCCAGGAAAGTAAATCTTTTCTTCGGAAAGTGCAATATCCAACACTTTATTCGTCTTTGACCGAGCTCTCATTATACAATGCGTTCTTTTACACTATCAAAAAATAAATTGAGGGGAAAAAGAAAAAGAACAAAAAACAAAAACAAAAAATTAGTACCACCATCATTAGACCACCTTACTTTTTTTTTTTTTATGTATACGTTTCACAGCCAATCAAAAATTGTCTCCATGTGTAACTCCAAAAAGGTCACTTGTTTATTTTTTAACCCCAATGATGACAGATACAATAAAAAAAAAAAAGGGTCCAAGTATTCGTTTATGATCGTTTCATGCATTAGTGTGCATTTTATTATTATTTTAATACATTCATTATAAGGAGTTCTTCTCCTTGTAAATCGTGGTATTCGCAATTTTAAAATATTAATAAACAATCGCTTCTTTACGAAAATAATCAACGGGTGTCATGGCAGGATATGGATGCGTAGGTGGATGCCATGCAGAAGGATGGAGTCCATACACGCTTGGAGTTAATGGTGCTGGTACAGCTAAATCTAGCCCTTCTGCCCAGAAATCCTGCCGATGTTGCCAATGCACCAGAAACCCATTGGGAGGAGGTAAAGAAGGTATAAGCGACAGTATGAAATATACAAATCCAACTGTAAATGCAATCATCGACACAATAATATTAAAAGCAATCTTACACATCACAAGACAGCCGAGACTACATACATAATGAAGAAGGTGAGTATAAAAATGAAAAGCAGCAGCAGTAACAAACAAGAATGGATTACAATAACATGAAGAGTGCCTTGCCTCGATGCACACTGAGAAAACCAAAATACAGAAGCGACCATGCAGGTGACGTAAATTCATGCAAAATCAATAAGAAGCTGATGATTCTAAAAAAGACATTTAGTTAAAGAACAAATAACATTTTCTTTTGTTGAATGACTAACGTGCAATAGATGGCTTGAATGATGTCAGCAAAGCTCCCTTCTTTGGCTTTCATGATCGATGCAGCAAACACCATCAAAAAAGTCATGATGTTGACTATATTTAGTGCCAGGTATGCAAGGTTTTCAAATTTAGCCCGAGATATTCGAATCTTTTTCATTCCTCTTTTTTTTTTTTACTCTCTTTCTTTATCTCCCCTTTTCTCTCCTCCATCACTTTTTATAAATATAGGATTTCGGAAAGATTTTATTGTTTTATTTGTATTTATAATTCATGTTTTATCCGATATATTAAATAGTCTCTGTGCGTGTCTTGTATTTACTATTGTTGAATGAATGCATTCGTTTCACTGTAAAGGGTTGATATGTTCGTTTATCTTCCAATGTAGGTAACCCACGTGGCGAAGAAGGAGGTGAAGGCAGTGATGCGATCGTGTCCAGTTTCGTTTGTTGGTCTTCCAGCATCTCTTCCAGCGCATGTTTACTCTCTTCCCACTGCCCAATCATGATCTGCATATGTTCATCTATCTGGCTAAACCGTTTATTCATTCTCTCCAGTCCTAGCCACGACACTATGAATCAATAGAAAGTTAATATCCAATAAACATATAATAAGTAATATCATAAATACCTCGACCGGAGGAAAGTGATTTGGTGTCTTGTTTACAGAGGAATAGTTTTGCTTGAATATCTTCCACATGTTTTTCAAGAGCAGACACGCGATGCATCAAGGTAATGGATCGACTGTCGGAATGATGAGAGGAAGAAGATAACAACCCTTCTGCTCCTGCTCCTGCTGTTGCTGCTGTCATGGAAGAAGGAGAGGTTTGCACGGACAACACCTCCTCTTTCTGTACTATATAATTTTACAATAATTAAAATTGGTTTTGCAATCTTCACCCACATCTAGAAATAACTTACCACGTGCATCAACAAGGGACGCCATGGACTCTAGCTTCTCATTGAACTGCAAGTACGCATGCACTAACCCATGATTGACCTGAATCGCCTGTCTCCAGGTCTTTCCGTAATGTGTGCGGTTATGATTCGACATGACATCCAACGACAACAGATATAACAAGTATTCTCTTCGTTTCCAACAAATGACTGAATAGATGAGATGGATATCTTCCACTCCATACTGGTGCGAATCGAACTCGAGTAAGAGTGACGGGATGGTTTCGTTCAGGTTGTACATGTCTCGAAAGGTTGCTAGGTTATGTGTATCAATTAAAGGTTGTAATTGATGCACGCATTCGATATACGCTTCAAAATGGTTGGATAAAAGGGTGCCGAATGCTTGCTGTTGTTGTGGTTCTGTGGGGAGTGCGTTTAACAGGCGGAAGAGAAGACTATCGCTCTTTTGTGACAATGAAATGATCTTGTGCATTGAGTTGAGCGCAGATGCATGAATGCGTCTCACCTGCACATGTCTCTATCCAAATAAAAAAGCAGTCAATAAGAAATAATTTAAAAAAATAAATAAAAAAAAAAAAGTGATCTCATTATTTACATGATGTCTATAAATAAAATAGCAGGTCGTGATATAAGCCGGTAATAAACAAGGAATAATATAAGGTGAGACAGAACGATTTGTTGTCATGATAAAAATAATCATCATCACATTCAAGAGTGTGATTGTAACCAATCTGTTGAAAAGAGAGGACGGAACATCCACCACGGGCTCGATATTGGGTTGTATCACCTTATTATTATCTGCCAAAGGCTGTTCGTTAAACAAAGAAGAGGTCACAATCAAGTATTTAAATTCTTCTTCAAAGATCGATTGTTCGGACCTCGATATCGACAACGAGAGTAATCCCTAATGAATAAACAGGTTAAGCATATAACAATCCACATCATGACTCTTTTATCACCAGACCTTTACAAGTTGACTCCAATGCCGTCCGATGGCCCATACAACATGGTGGCGCCGCTTTTGAGCATGATATAGTGCAACAGATACACCGATTGTGATCATCGATACACCCGCTGCTGTAAATAGTGTGTTTTGACTTTCGTTCATTTCTCTTTTGTTGTTTTTTGTTGAAGAATAAAAAAAAAAAAAAAAAGGGGGGAAAAAGGGAAAAAGAAGGAAAGAAGAAAATATAAGGTTTTTTATTTGATTCTCAGTTTGGTGTTTCACACACATACACACCCATCGGAGATTAGCACTGCATTAACGCTCGTTGACATCACCTTGGCATTTTATTTCACCTTGGTTACGTAAATAGTGGTATTCTATCCTAGCATAGTGTGGTTTTAACGTCCGGATAGGCTATAGCTTATTTATCACTTAGATTAAGTACCAGTCTCATTTGACAATTATACTCTACGGTTGAGTAAAAGAGAGCTGTGTTGACTCTTTAGACACCGGACCAATATGCTTCAAACATTGTACATCTGTTTCATCACTTGGCGTACGTCCCTTTTTCGATGGAAAAAAAATACAAATAAGTAGTTGTCAATAACACCCGTTGGTACATGATGATAGTTACTATAGTTGACACCGTTTTTATAAACAAACTGTTGCTTTACTTCCATTGCATCCAAGTATCATTTCTATGTAAAGACGTATAATATAAGTAAGGGCGTACTGGCATTAATTTAATTTTTATTTCTTCATGTGAAAAATAATAAAATAATATATGCAATTATTGTTTGCTTGGAAATGACATGTGAGGTTGTCACAGTTATTGACAAAGAAATATATATATATATATAACCGGAACGACGAGGGACCATACTGGAGCAATATAACTTATTAGGGAAGGCTTGGACAACTCTGCTTTTCTTGTCATGTGTATCAGAATCATTGTGCGCAGCATAAGCAGTAACAACATAAGCAGTGACAACAATTGCCATCGTTAGTCATTGACATCGCTATTGTTTCTATCACAACCATCATCACCTCTTTTTCAACCGAAGGTGGTTTTTATAAATTTATTAAACTGTATACTGCAAATGAAGCAAAATCGCACTTTTTTCTGATGATTTGGTGTAATGTTCAATAAGACCAGAAGAACAAAAAAAAAAGTGGTCGGTAGAATCATGCAAAAGATCCTACCACATTCTTTTTTAGATATGTGCGTTTCTGATTTACAAAAGATTTGTAACAATAGTTAAATCCTATTTTCATTTATCTGTAAAAAAAAATTTATTATCTTTTCTTGTACTTGCCTTGTAACTTGAATAACAAACAGACGGCGTCTCGGAAATTGTGCATGTTCGAAATAAAGCTGGGTACTTGGAAAACAAAAGTTGTTAGATGTAAAAAAGAAGTCATCCGGGTAACAAACCTGAAACCAAAGTAATGTAGTAACTACAGTAACTCGACCCCACCCCATCTTCCAAGAGCTGCAGAGCTTTTAATACCTTTTTTTCAAACACGTTTAAGGATCTTTGCAATTTTTTTTTAGTCATCTCCAACTGTTCCTCTTCACATCATACTGAAGTTGTGATATTCAATATTTTCATTTTTACTCATTGCTTTACGCCTTTGTTTTCGTTAAATGGCATTTAGATTTGTCGTTTAAATAAAAGATTATTCCCGTATTTAGTATAATCGAAAGGATGCATAACTAAGACATATTTTGGTTTCTGCAATACCTGTAATCATTCCCCTAAAATCATGTAGTATGTTTTGGTTGTAAATACTACCCTCTAGCAATTTTTTTTTTTCTCTTTTGTTGTCTACATGATTCTCCCTCCCTCAAAAAAAGAATTCTAAAAACTAGCTTATAAAACATCTTATTATAATACCAATAGTGTTCCCAATCAAATTTCACTGTGTGTGCGTTATGACCAAAAAAAAAAAAAAAAAAAAAAAAAAAAAGGTGATTATGGAATATACTGACTAAGAGATTACAGTTTATTTGGCATTGAGCTGAGCTAAAAGAGAATCCAATTCTTGTGCAACAATATGATTTGTACATTTGGCTCTTACTTGTCTGATACAAAAAAAAAAAAAAAAAATGGTTATGAAACGTGATAAGCATGACCTGTTATAAAATAATACCTTAATCCTTCCACATCCTTGTTTAAATAAGCTTGTTCACCTGCTTCTTTGAAAGCGCCAATCTTGACAAAAAGCATAGGTCGGACAGGTGGGTCACACTTGAGGATATATTTCGATGCTTCTTGGTATTGTTTGGCCTTGATACATTCTTCAACAAAGGGCTACACACATTGAATTAAGATTACAGATTGTACAAAAAAAAACCTTAATAAAAAAGGCAAATACCTCGTAACCAATGGGTGATTTTTTACTCTTGGCTAATTTTTCCAAGGTTTCCCAATCTCTCACTTCGACTAACGCACGTAACTTGACCCACCAAAATCTAATTTTTAAATCTCCCCCTCCATCAGTATATGTGCACGTACGATTTTTTTTTTATATATCTCTTTTTTGTTACCGTTTATCGGGGATTTTGAAATCCGTCTTGATCTTGGTGGCTTTATTATGATGGCCTAGTGTTGTACATTTATAAATTGTTTCGCTTGTTGAAAGTCCTGTGAAAGATTGCGTCGTGTCTTTTTCCAACGTTAATTGAAACTGAAGTAATTTAATCGCCTCATCCACAGCCTTTTTTTCCATACAAAAATTTGATCAGTTTTTTTTTTTCCTTGCATCCACTTTTCCAAAAAAAAATAAACTACATGTACAATACCTTGGCTTCAAAGGCTTGTTCACGATGTTCACTGTACGTTTTTCCTGCAATCTTTAGCTTTTTGATACGTTCCGCAATATCCTAAACAATTTCATCTGTTTAACAGTGAAGGAAAAGCACCGTAACTTTTTTTTTTTTTTACCAGTTCACTGAATCCTTCGGATAAAACCACATTGGCACTATCAATACGACGATCATCTTGGTAATAAAAATCTTTCAAGAGTTCGGTATCTTGTTCTTTACAGTACACTTCCAACAGGTTACAGGCCATGGGTTTATTATTGATCATCCTAAAGAATTCGCCCAATGGTAATTTACGCTTCAAGTGAAAGATAACCAAGTACACTATAACACACATGACATCAGTACTTCCGTATTCCTTAATTTACGGACACACACACACACAAATTACCTAGATCCGTGTCTCCGCTATCAATGGCTTTGATAAGAGCCGTTTCATCTTCCTGCATAGAAATCAAAAGTGGTACCTGATCTGCTGCTCTGGGCTCATAATCCAACAACTTGGTAGCTAAACGAGTCTGTCCAGCATCATGTGCAGTTTTGGCAATTTCGGCATAAGAAAGTCCAGGCTTCTTTGCTAATTTATCTACAATCGTACGACAAATGGATTCTTCATCCTCGGTAGACGATTTAATCTTTTCACAGGCCCAGTGGATCAAAATTTTATCCGTTCGAAGTTGCAAGTATTCGGCAATGCGGATGGCTAACAAGTGGTTATTACGGTTGATCAATCGGTCGATTAAAGCGTCTGGGCTGCATCGCTTGTATCTAACGGATAAAAAAAAATGTGAGTTTTTTTCTTCTTTTAGATGGATGTTTAAGGTTACGTAGAATACATTACTGAGCGTAGGTAAGTGGGATACCAATATCGTAAAATCGGACGGCGTTCAAGACACGAATGGTTTGTGACATATCGACAAAACTATTGGCATTGTAGTTTTCAAGGAAACATTTACCGAAGGAGGCAGCTTTTAAAAGCGAACGTTGATAATGATGTTGAAATTCAAATCCTGCTGCTTCAATACAACTGTCTACCGCATCAATCAATTCGGTCTTGATGCTTCGAATATTCTCATCGGCCTTTGGACTCTTTCGCTACAAATCAGAAGGAAAACTTGTAAGTCTACATATCAAAGATATTATAAATACAGATATATATAAAAAAAAAACCTCGTAGTGATCTAGGGCATCGAATAACATGGCAGGAGGTTCGGTGGATCCAATTTTAAAGATTTTCTCAGTCGAAGCAGGAACTTTTTGAAGCAACTCACATTTATCATTACTGATGATACGCACACCATCGATTTCGGAGGCCAAATAAATGGGGTCATCATATGTAAACTTGATCCAATCTCCAAAGGGACCGACCATCAATACGATTTTATCCCAATACAATACCACTGAATCCGTACCACACCACACTAATTGTTGAGGTGGGATCTTTGATTTGGTAGCATATTCCGATAAATTCTTTTGAAAATCTGTAGAGACTACCCATAATTTACCATCCATCGTAAACAAGGCTAAAAATTTACCGTTGGGAGAGACCACCATTTTGGTGAAGGGGCCTTGTGTCAGGTGCTGGTCGGTGGCTTCTTTACTATCGACCACCAAAATAGTGGATCCCGTCGCAATCAAGACTTCGACATGTCGACTCAGTGTAAATTGAGGTGGTACGACGGTCCAACTATGTGGAGGCTCATCCAAATTAATTTCGGCCATGGGCTTTGGTTGAGGTTCATCAAAATTTGTGACGGAGATCAGTTGGTATTTGCCCGTCATAGCAATCAAACCTCCTCCCCAGATTTGACAGTCGATAATCCCGTCGTTCTGTGCATCTTTGCCTAGTGAGAATTGGGTGTATTGACCATGTAATGTGTATAGACGCACAGAACCATCGTCTGTCACTACCACCAGTTGCTCTCCATCCGTCCAACCCAATGCTACAATACGTCCTTTATCCCACTTTGGGGGTGTTTAGTCTAGTGTATATGTGTGTCTGTATGTATAATATTATTTACCTGAATTTGTTCAATAAGTTTACCCGCGCTGGTGTACATGTAAATGGTGGGTTTAATAGGCTGTTGTTTTTGAAGCAGAAGCACTTTCTTATCATCCCGAATCATGGCTAAAAATAAAAAAAATAAAAACCGCCCATTTGAGTATAATTATCCCTTTCATGATGATACTAGTTGTTTACCGATGGGTCCACCATACTGTGCACCCGAGATCATGAATTTCGAAAGGTCGGTTTGGTTCCATGATAAAGAATAAATTTCTTGCTTTCTGAATGAAACGACGTGTTTTTTTTAGATGGTTGCATGTTTTATGCATGTGTTTCTTACCTATAAAAGCGATCCTATGCACACAAGCAAAAGTAGAATGAGTTAATGTTTTATATTTTTGGCAAGTCATCAAAAAAGAGAGAGGCTTTACATGAAGTTCAGTCCAATCCGAAGTTGGGTTAGGTGCCATGTTTTTTTTTTAAATGTATAAATTAAAAGAAAAAAAAAAGGGGTTTTATTTTTATTTTTTATTTTTTTAAAAAACAGAAGAGCACTGTTTCACATTCCGTCACACACACACACACACACACACAGGTTTTTAATCTTCATCACTTTCTTCCTGCGTCAATAAATTATCAAACTCATAGGTATCTTCTTCTGTAGGTTTTACATACTGATGTGTACCCAACATGTACTTCTTTACAACATAAGCAGTACTAGCCAAACTAAACAACATAAACACAGACACCAATCCATACAATCCAAATGATCCTTCTTCCTTTTCATCCTCATTCGTTGTATCCATAAAGGATTGTGTAGGTTCCTTTCTTGTCCCATTCTTTTCATGCTCGGTCTTATTCTCTACGAAGAATCCAATCTCTGATTCTCCCCATAACGTTAATGTCCAGTCAACAAACTGTCCACGGTATTCTGGATTACGTCCATCCACCACACGCAACGTCCAATTCCCCACCGGACTCTCCTCCCAATGCTTTACCGTCATAAACGTCCAGTTGATCAAACCATCACTACTGGTATCATATTTACGTGGTGTGCCCAATTGACTTGACACTCCGTTCGGACTCTCCACCAATATCTCAAGATCGCCTCTTCGTTGATGCTCGATATTCACTGTCACCGTCACATGTTCTAACCGACTCAATCCATGCTTTTGTATATTTTCCTTCGTCACAGTTAATGTACTTGTGAATGCGGTGGAAGGATCTATACTATTGTTAGCAACTGGTGTTATATCTTGTATGGACAATGGGGTATTATCGACATCAATCTCTGATGTAATGGAAAGATGTGTTTGTGCTCGTACAGATCGAAATCCTTTTGCCAACTCCACAATACGGTAAGCGTCTAGGATACCATAGCCATATTTATGATTGAATTGACGTCCTGAAGGTAAAACAGACCAATCATCATCGTCCAAGGAGATGGGAATAGCAGATTGAACACAAAGGTGTTGCAGATCACGCCAAGTGAGATCAGGTCGTACCGATAGAACAAGGGCAAATACGCCAGCTGCTAAAGGGGCTGCAGCACTTGTACCTCCGTGGCGTTCCGAGCATTGATTCTCTCCTACGTCTGTTGTATACTATTTGTTCACAAAAAAAAAACGTATCAGTTTAACTTCAACTGCATGTTTAGTCCTAGACAATCACTTACAATATAGCCTCCACTACCGCTGGAATAAGTGACGACAAGCTGAGCAGCACATTTCTCAGAGTAATAAGGATGATTGCCCATTTTATCCACCGCACCAACCGTAATCGTAAAGATACTATTGGTATAGCCATCAAAATTACAATTGTCATCATTGGCTCCACCATTACCCGATGCAAAGACATAGATAGATCCTGTTCCATTGCGACCGTTGTCAATTCCATTTTGAATAGCGTCCAGTAGAATTCCCTGAGGAGCCTCTGCTACTTCGCCTAAATCCGGTGGACCCCAGGAACAGCTGTAGATGTGATTTTCTTGGTAGGCATAATTTAAAGCAGCCGCTTCATCCGCTTCAGTGATCTCACCTGAAAGAATTCGAATTCCAGAGACTTTGGCTTCGTAGGCTACACCCAGCCCACAGATATCGTTCTTGACAGCTGCAATTTCTCCAGCGCAACGTGTGCCATGTGTATCATCTTGTAAACGAGGACGTGGGTCCTTTACATGATTATTAAAATCATACGAACCCTCGGCAAACTGTTTTTTTTTTTTTTTGGTATATGTGTATAAGGTGAGTAATTGTATATGTATGCGATTATATTCTATGAAAGTCATGTTACGTTACGTAGTTGTCATGGAGGTCTGGGTGATCCATATCCAATCCATCATCCAGAATAGCAACAATGACATTTTTACCAGTGATACCTTGACTCCACACTCCTGTCACATTGACATCATGTCCCATCTCGTTCCGATTTAATAAATGCCATTGTTGATCAAAGCCAGGATCCGTGATATTCAAGATCGTCTTGATGCGTGCGTATCCATCTGTATCTGTCAATAACGGTAAGTTCAGTGGTGGTGTCTGATTGTTTAATTTATATTCTTCCTCTGTGTTTTCAAGTACCGGCGCTGTCGGCGGTGGTGGGGCACGTTTGAAAAGACGATGACGGGAAGGAATTTGAGGTGAAAGTAACATATCTCGTTTATGAAATCGACGAGTGATATGAGGTGAGGATTTGGGGATGCTGATCCAATGGTGTTGCTTTAATTCGCCCACTTGGCCTTCGTAACGCGCATCCAGCGTCGCTGCTAGTTGAGCAATGTTGGGGTTTGTAGTTTTCACAGTATAGTACAATCGGTTGTTATAATCGCGTTGAAAACATGTCACGCCATGAAGAAGAAGTAAAAGTAATGCATGTATTTTCATTTCTTGTGTTTAAAATGGAAAGAAGAGAGAAAAGAAAAAAAAGAAAAGAAAAAGTGACGGTGGTTGAATTTAGTTCTTCCTCTGTTTTATGCAATGATTAGGGGTAAAAAAAAAAAGTAATATATTACAATGGAATCAAATGAGAGAACACATAAACAAACAAAATGAGACTACACACACAAGGTCTCGTTGACTAAATCATGCAAGATTTCCTTTTCATTCCTTCGTCGTCTTATCCGTTCTTTCACTTGCTGCCATTCCTTTTCTAATGCCAACAAGATTTTAAACTGTTCTTGTTTTTCTAGCTTATATTCCTCACACAAACGTTCTTGCCAATCACCATGTTTCTCACATCTGTTTTCTTGTTTACATACAGACCCATTGTCGTGTCGATACCCACACCATGGTTCTCTTTCACTCAAGGCCTTGAGTTGTGCATCTATACGTCCTACTGTATCTCGCACTTTTCTCTTGGCACAACGAATTTTCGGTAACCTGGCACGATCTTCTGCATCTGCTAAAGAATGCATACGCGACGCCCGCTGTCTCTTTAGACATAACTGAACAATCGTCTCATTATTGGTAGAATCATCCTCCGTATGACGGCGGCGCTTCATTTCTGCCCAGGTCAGCCGTGCTCGTGCAACCTGGAGACCGCATGAATCAGAGCAATATTTCGAGACATGACCTAGACTAGCACCTATTCTTGCCGCTTTATGACAAGCGGGGTTTGAGCATTTAGGTTTCCATAGTGTTCTTTTCCCTGTTTCTTTTTTTTTTTGGGGGGTGTTGAGTGCATGTATAGATGTAGCTTTTTTATTTTTTTATTTTTTTTATCTTTTTTTTACCTTGGGAGCATTGGATGCAGAAATACAAGTCGATTAATTCACCTTCCTTTTCATTAATATGAATGCATTCGCCATGAAACCATTCATCACATTTATCGCAGGCAATCATGAAGCGTGTAGCGTCATAAGGTTGACGACAATGGCAATACAGCTTTCCATCCGTCGATCGTTTTCTCGAATTTTTACTCAGTGAGAGCCGTTTCTTTGGCTGTGTCGTTGTGGGTGGTGCTGGTGGTACTCCGATGCATTTCTTTAAAGGCTTTAGACATTGTTGATTAAGCCAAGCGGATTTAAACGAATCGATGGTTTCTTCCGTTGAACATTTCTTTTTTTTTTAATAGTAACAATTGGGGCGTGTTAAATAAGTTTTGTTTTATGGCTATTACGTTTGATGAAGGGCTTTTTTGTTTTTTTTTTTTTTTTTACCTGGGATGGCGTGCAGAGTAATGGGTTGCTTTGAGACAAGAGTTTGCCATGATGGTCTGTAGCATAGACTTTTTTAAAGGCCCCTTTTTAAGGAATTCGCCATGCACCAGACGTTTTCGAAGTGGTAAACTGTGAATAGGAGGTAAATGACATTGTTTTTCTGACATTCGGATATACAAGCAATAACAACAACAACGAAAAAAGAAAAAAGAAAAATTACGGAGAAATAGAGATTTTTTTTTAATATGTATGTAATATGAACAGCAGAGGGGATAACACGTGATTTAAAGCGTCTTGACTTTACCACGGAAATCCTCAAGCGAGGTATAACCCTTCTTTTCCATGATTTCCTCCAACTCTTTCAAGATACGTGCAAAGACAGCAGGACCCTCTTCCTTCAAGGTGGTACCAATTTGTACGGCACTTGCACCAGCCAAGACATGTAAAAATACTTCCTTACCACTGGTGACACCACCCACGCCAATCACCTTCTTGGTGGGTAAACGACGATGGAAGGCATTGACGTTAGCCAAAGCGGTGTTAAGGACCATGAAACCACCTAATCCACCAAATCCATCCTTGGGCTTGATCAATGCTGTCTCTGTTTCAAAATCAATAGCCAATCCATTACCAACAGAATTGATACAGGTCACATAGGCCAAATCGTCAAACTTGTTAAAGATGGCAGCAGCAGCATCAAAATGAGCAATATCGAAATAAGGAGGCAACTTGATACCAAAGGGTTGACGGATAATGGGTGCTAATGTGTTTAAAGCTGCTTCCATAGCCTCCATATCATAACCCAATTGAGGTTTACCGGGGACGTTGGGACATGAAAAGTTGATTTCGAGTACACAAGGTAACTTGGCCGCCACAAAGGCTTCACACATGGTCTTGTTTTCGGCCAAGGAGAGACCTGAGAGAGAAATGAATAAAGGCTTGGGAGAGCTGTAATCGTAAGACTTGGCATAATCCAAATAGTATTGGTAGCCTTCGTTAGGAAGACCCATGGAGTTGATGGAACCAGTGGGTAAAGGAACGTAACGTGGAGAAGGGTTGCCTTCACGTTGAGCACAAGTAGCTGATTTCGTGATTAAGGATCCGGAAGCAGAATCTTGCATTTGCTTTAAATCGTCGGTAGTTTGACAGCAGACACCAGACGCGTTGAATAAAAGGTTGGGTAAATGAACACCAGCAATGCTTGTAGAAAGATCGACCATTTTGTGTGTATGTGTATGTGGGGGTATAAAGAAGAAGAAGAAAAAGAAAAAGAAATGAAAATAAAATAAAAAGATGCGCTTTTATTTAAAAAAAAAGAAAGATATGTCAAAAAGATGTGACTCAAAAGGTATTTTAAATAACCGCATCTTCTGATGAAATGCAAGTGGCGGCGGGAGGTGGAAAATTAGGTGGAGGCGGTAAAAAGCTATTATCTTCTTCAAATGGCAACACAAGTGAAGACTCTGATTGTGACCATTGTCCAAACTCACCAAACGACATGATGGCCTGGGAATCATTTTCAGGTATTTCTTCCTCCTTTGTCAAGGTAAACCTTTCCACTCCACGTGGATTAGTTTCTCTGTTTTTACGAGCTGGTGACAGTGGTGGCATACAATAATACTCTGTTTGTTCAGGTAAAAACTCCAGCTCCAACTCTTGGTAATGTCGAATAGGCTGTAACGTACCCGTATCAATAGACCCTTTGGTAGACCGACCACAACTTCCCTTGGGAACCAACGTTGTCATGGAAGGCGCTGTAGAGGTGATGGATGTGTTCTTTCTTGGTGGTGTCGTAGGTAAAGGTCCAAACTGGAACGCACTGTCTGTCGCTTGACTTGTACTCATGCCTGAATGCGAGAGTGGATGTACAGAACCCTGTTTATGATAAGCGTAATCACTACCTGATTGCGAACTACCGAATACAAGCGTCGATGCTTGACCGCTGATATCACTCTGGTTATTCACTCCATTTTCTTCATTCAAGAAATCCTGATCGGGTGTGACTGTAGCTTGGTTATGCTTTGGGTGAAAGATCAAAATCATGCAGAACCAGGTAATCACTGCACACATATTGACTACGAAAAAAAAAGACATCGTTTGTTTACTATGATAAAACTACAAGAAAAGAAAGAATACTTACTGTTGCAGATAAAAAAGTCAGCCGAGAATTTGTGGATGTTGAGATATTTTCGCACAGTGAGACCATCCCCACTGAGAATGGTGAGTAAGATACCATGACCGAACAAGACGGTAGATAAAACCACATTGATTTCTTGAAAGTAACGAATCTTTTGTGTAATGGATCTACCATTGGTGGTATTTGGACTCTTGCTCAACAGTTTTTTAAATCGAAAATGAGACACTACACCCAAGCAAGCAACAATAAATAGCTCTAGGTTCTATGTCAGCTTTCTTTACATGCATTCAATTATGATTATTTTTATTTTACCAATACCGTACACCATCTCTGGCATAATTTCTTTGTAGGTGGGTTCGTAGATATCGCGGGAGAAATTATACTGGAGCAAAGGAAAGACGATGAAACTTGAGCAGGTCCAGGCGATATAGAATTTAAACTCTTTACTACTCATAAAAGTAGCACTCGCCACAGAATCCGCTAGATAATTCCAAAAACATTGCAATAGTACAAGCGTACCCGTTTGTAACGAGAATCCGATACAGAGACTGTATTCGGTAGGGATTACTAGACTCTTGTCAGCTTTTGTCCACATGACTTCAGGTTTGGTAAAGACGTGGCCTAGAATACTGGCGAAACCTTCCTCGTACTTGATCTTGACGGATGTGATATCTACATTGAGAGTTGTTAGTTTGATATGAAGGCTTTGTATGTGTGTTTTTTAAAGCGTGTTACCATAAAAGAGCTGGAAGGGTATCATAAAGAGAATAAGCAAGGTGACGACGCTTTTAAGTTCGCCTTGTTTGACTCGTTTAGGATGAAGACAACTGAACCTGTCTAGTGTCCAGACACGATAGGTGTACCAAACATAGAGATATCCAAAGGAAACCGTACGCTCTATATAATAATGTTAAAATTCAACTTTAAAGAAAAAGAAGAGAGAGAGAGAATTAGGTGTCTACTTGCGCAAAAAACTAAAATCGCTTAAATGTGTCATGTATATATTAAAAAAAAGGAAGGTCTTGATGACTTGGTTTCTCTCCAAGATGATTCTATTTTATACATTTAAAAAAGGAGAGAGAGAGAAAGTATAAGAAGGGAGAGCCTTGTTTTTTTATATATTCACTAGTAACTGGGGGAGGACATCGATAGTCCTCTCCACTCCTTTACTTTTTTTTTATTTTACTTGGGGGGGGGGACACCAAAGCTCATCTCTCTCTCTCTCTCTCTTTCTCTCTTTCTCTCTCTCCTAATAGGTATTTGTTCAGACCAGGTAAAACCAGTGTGGGGAGTGAAAAGAAGAAACAAAGACTCCTTGCAGGTTGCCTTATTTTTTTTTTAAAAAAAAAGGGTTATATATTAAAAAACAGCTCTTTATAGAGTAAATGAGCATATGGTTGAGAAACAACCGTTATTGGATCAAAAGAAGAAAAAAGTGCACAGGCAAAGAAAACACGTGCCCTTACTCCTTCCGCACAGATACTTTATTTCCGTTTCCATAGTAAATGTGGCTTACAAAGGAGGAAACGGGGTTAAAGTAAGGGGGTTTCTTTTTGAGTGTGTGTTGTATTGTATTGTAGATATTTAGATGACAGAACAGATTGAAATAAAGACGTGTGTATTTTGTTTGGTAAATAATTGTGCTTTTCCCCTTCTTTTCTCCTCTTTGTTTTTTCTCCATAAATACGCTCTTTTCTCTCTTATTTTCTTTCCTTCTTTAACTCTTTTTAACTTTTATAATGGATATTGCAGAATTAATACACATGGATCCCATGGATACTGTACAGAAGCGACATTCATGTGAATGGCCAGACTGTCATAAATCATTTAGTACGCCTCCATTTTTATTATTATTATTCATGCGCACGTCCCTTTTTTCTTTCTTTCTCACACTTAAACTCCATTCTTCTTAGGTAGGCCGTCTGATGCAGCCAGGCATTATCGAATCCATACAAACGACCGGTAAAAAAATAAGAAAAATCCTTCTTTTTCACATGTAACTAAAGACAAAAAGGAATGTCTCTTGCTCAGACCCTTTCAATGTACAGAATCATATTGTGGCAAACGATTTATACAGGTACTAAAAAACTAAAACTTTAAAAAAAACAAAGTCAGCTGGGTTAAATTTAACATCTGTGTTTTAGAGATCAGCGCTAACTGTTCATTTGCGCACACACTCGGGAGAACGACCGCATCTATGTGAAGTGAGTACATGTCAAAAGAGTTTTAGTGATAGCAGTTCCTTGGCCCGTCACAGGTAAAATTATAAAGTCAAGATATTAGAAATGTAACTCATAAAAATAAAAAAAAAGACGAATTCATACAGGCAACCGCCCCTACAAATGTCACGAGTGCAATAAAAGGTTTGTTGTCTAAATATGCACTCAAATATACAATGGAACTAATTACACATCAAAAAAAAAAAAAAAAAAAAAAGTTACACGAAAAAGACAATTTTAGTTCGACACGCACGTATGTGCCATGATTATCTACCTTCTCCGCCTTCAAGCCAAAATGGAGATATCTAAGTCTTGTTTATTTTTGCTGTTGCTTTTCCAAAAAGAAAGTTTTTAATGCATCCAGGGCCTTTCCACGATGAGAAATGGAGTTCTTGGTCACTTTATCCAACTGAGCAAAACTACATATATATATATTATTTTAATAAAAAGAGAGAAAGAGAGATTAGACAAACTATAAATGTATAAATGAATCTTTTTTTGTTTACGTTTGGTCAAAACCATCAGGCAAGAAAATGGCATCCCATCCAAATACACCAGGTCCACGTGCAGTTACAATCTTGCCCTACCGGATAATAATATTAGAGACAATAATCATCAACTGTTTAGATTAAATACTGTACGTGTGTTCTGCCCTCAAATACAATGGGTTCGTGACCAGGTCCTTCACAGAAAGCAAATGTACATAAAGCATAAGCAGATCGATCATCAAATCCATCCAACATCTTGTTTAATCCAACATGACCAATGGAGTCTTGGAACCATTTGCTAAATAAATACACAATGAACACTCTATAATTTAAATTTTGACCTCCTGGTAATATTTACATGTAAGGTCCGGGAAGTCCGTTTAAAGCGTTGAAACACAATGCAGTGTCTTCTGTCATACAAGGTCCATTCAACTAGTAAGAAAAAAAATAAATCATCTGTGCGTATGTTTTGGATATAAGAAAAAGCGCATAATTTACAATTTCGGATGCAAGTCTACATTTTTGCTTGGCAATATCTTGTGTTTCACCCTGAAGCTCGGGTACTACATTTTACAAAAAAGTTTAATTTTCTATCTAGGCTTTCTTTTATATCTTTGTCATATTTTACAGTCTACTTTGTGCGATTCCACGTCAATGACACCATTCAAGATGGCTTGCACTTCACTCAACTTGTTCTTATTACCAGTGACAAAGACTACGTAAAAAAAAAAAAAGTTAGTTCTTTTTGTCAGCACAGTCAGTAGTAGGCGTTTTTCTAACCAAGTTTGGGTAAGGCGGTCATGGTTTATATGTTTAAAAAAAAAAAAGGGTCGAAACAAGTATTAGAAATACAAAAAAAAAAATATATAAAAGGCTGTGACTGTTTGAGCTAAATTGTATGGTGATTGGATAAACAATAGAGATGCTTATTGAGAGAAATCACGCGTAAAATAAAAAGAGGAGTTCCCCAGTTGTGTTTCAGCCCAAAACACTCTGTTACTGTATTTGGGGTGGGAGGATAGACATTTGGGTAGAGGCACATGCCAAGATAGAGTTTAATAACTTTGTAGAGAGAACAACTCAAACCATGAGCGGGTTACTACCTCTTTTACACTCTTATTCTCGGATTCTTTTTTGACCGCATGTCACACTGACATTAACCATTGTCTTTTTTTAAGCTCATTCTTTTTTCTTTGTAAGAGTTGTCAAGGGGTCTTCTTGAAGCGTCGTCACTGTTGATTTTTGATTTTAAATTATTTTTTTTTTAAGAAAGAGATTTATGGCATGAAAAAGTTGCTTTGAAAACAAAAATCTCGATTTAGCAGGAAAAATAAAAAAAACGCGTATTAAAAAAAAAGGGAAAATAAAATTATTTTTTCCCCTTTTCCTTCTTTTTTTTTTTTAAAAAAAAATAAATAAATAAATAATAAATTTTTATTGCAATGTCAGTCTACCAACACGAATCACCATGGGGCATCCTCGATCCTTCATTAGAACAACATGCTTATTTCTCTAAAGCAAATGAGCCTACACCGTTTATTCCTGCAATACCTTCTCCTCCCCGTATCCAAGGTAACAACAGCAACAACAACCATAGAAAACACTTTTTTTTTTTTTTGCATAATATTTAAATTTTTTGTTGTTGTTGTTTTTTTTTTTTTTCGAAAAATAAAAAAAGATGAACAAGACATAAATCTAGAAAACTGTTTAAAAGAACTGGACGAGATTCAAGAAGAATTAATGGCGCATCGTCATACGTTTGTATCTTGCTTTTTAGAAAATTTCATTATTTCTTTTATTTTTCTGACTAATGATTTTCCCAAAAAAATGTAGTATTTATTCAGAAAAATTAAAAGTCTTGCAAAATGAATTAGCCAGTATAGAAAATGGTACAAAAAAAAGATATAGTTTAAAGTTTTTTATCAAAAAAAAAAGAAAAAAAAAAAAAAAAAAAAAAAAAAAAACTCACAAAAAAAAACAGAAACACACAAGGTGATTGTGAAACAAGATAAAAAACTAGAAAAGAAGAGGGATAAAGAATTAAAAGCTGCCAATGACATGTATGAATTTCAATTACAATCCATTGATAAACAAGTCCAGCATGAAAAAGCCCTTGTCCTTCAAGACATTGAGGTAAAATATATATATATATTTTTTAAAAAAAAACTTAAAAAATTAATGTCTACAATGGATAGCAAAAAGCAGATTTCGCAAATCGTGTAGTAACTTCAGAAGGTAAGAGAAAAAATTATCTTTTAGATGGTGTGACGTAGAAAGTACTAGAACTTTTTAACGTAGGCACGAGAAAGAGAAAGCACAAGTCGCCTACGGCTGTCACAGATTCAGAAGACGAAAGTGAAGGTGAAGAAGTAGAGTTTCACCGAATCCATTTAAAGAAAAAGATGGGCAGGTTACAGGCAATCTCAGACCGTCAAAAAGCAACCAAATTCAAAAAGTACCATGACGACGATGTACCAAATCAAGAGGAATTACAACATGATATCACCATGATGAGACAAAAATGGTAACACATATGTCATAGTCATTCATCTTTTTTTTTTTTTTTTTTTTACTTACTTTTTTCTCCCCTCGTAGTGCCTAAAATAGGGTTGATTTTATTTTATTTTATACCCCATCAAATTTGTATATTCTTTTTTATATGTATATATTGTCTCATATAAAAGTTAGTCTGAAACTATGGCAAGGATTTTAGATACGACATTTCTCATCATATCAACTTGCATATCTTGACATTCAATTTCCTTTATAAAAACATCATTTCTTTTAGTGTCATAAACATTTCATTGTTCTTTTTTTTTTTGTTATTTTACCTTATTGGGTTTCAATGTATCAAGTAAGTGAGTAAGCGGATTCAAGTAGTTCTTCTGCATACTCTTGATATTCTCTGTACTCCACACTGTCGTCTAGTTTATTTTATATTTATATAAAAAAAAAAAAAAAAAAATTAATAATATTTTTTTTATGTGTAAATATAAACAATACCAAATTATGAGGTCTGTCTTTAATAAGCAAGTAAAAATACAGATTGAGAGCTTGCATCACATGAGCATAGTCATCCCAAAACGCTTCCTCGTTCCAATCGCATTGAAACACAAGAGGAAAGAATACTTTTACAATCAACGGACTTGTGAATACGGAAACACCCTGTCATACCTTTAGTATTCATCTCTCATATAAACCCATTTAAAATGATTTACCTTGGCAAAGGCTTGGTTGATTTGTTCTTTGAGTAAACCAATGGCCGCTGTCTTCATACAATGAAACGGGCAGGTCTCTAATAGTTCTCTTAAAAGAAACACACGTGTTTCTTCATCTCCAAAATTCAAAAACTTTTCTACTAGCTTATAACTAAAGAAACGCAGCGAAGGATCTGGGTGTGTGGCAGCTACAGACGAGATTATTTCAATCAGTTGGCTGGCTTGAAACGCACCGTTCGGTCCTTCCACCTGTTTCTCCAAATCGAGCATCGTCACCGTCGTCTTTATTTCGTCAGACAAGTAAAGTAGTACAAAGATGCCCTTGTCTACCTGCATCGCATTTGAGCTATTAAAAAAAACAGTGTTAAAAATCGAATCATAAAATCAGAAAATAACATTGGTTTACCCGGAGAGTAATTGGACAACGGTGCCTATGTACTTTTTAGCAAATGCCAGTGCATCGGTGGTTTCACAAAGGAGTCCAACTGGCTTACTTGAGAGTCGGCTGTCGTACACGGAGAAAGAAATAACCGCACCTATCCCACGATGACTCAGAGGATACATTCTTGAATTAATCATTTGCCGGTCATCATCCGATATTTGATCTTCTTTTGAAATTTCATGGTGATCCTTTTTCTGCAAGTATTCATAGACACACATCATTCTGTCAGCTGTAAAGCCAAAAGAATGAGATAACAACTATTAGAAACTGGGATGAGAACTCATACATTCTTATTCTTTTCTTTTAAAACAGAGAACTTACGAGACAGCGTTGGATGAGAGAGAGTAAGGTCGGATCCGATAAAGAAATCACTTGGTTGGGTCGCTGAATATTATACTTGCTGTGATACTTTTCATAATAAGACTTGGAAAACGATACATGCGCATTCAGTAAAATACGCTCATAGACCAAATCCATCAAGTAATAACCCAAGTAACGTCTTTTGGTGTCTCCATTTTCCAGACCTATATCCACTGTTTCAATCTAGATATCATTTTTTTTAGAGCACTCTACATAAGAAAGAAAATGATTGCTTACGGGAAACTCAGAATAGGACGGAACTACAGTACGCGTATGAATAAATTCAATCAAATCAAGACAACTCCCCACAAACAAATCTACAGTCTCTTCCCACCCATCACGCTTTCTTTGATGTCCCCCGTATAAACTCTTCTCAATCATCACGCTTTCGATACCATCCATTGTCTTGGTCACATAATTCGCTAGAAACGGAAGAAACAACATCCATTCTCTTGCTCGCTTCATCTGTTCTAAACCTTGACCAAACAAGGCCATGTACATGCTGGATAATCGTGCTGTTTTTACACACTCTAATTCCGTCTCAAAGTCCCACGAAATACAAATCAATTGATCCATCATGCGTTCCACCAAATCATCGGCGTCTAACTGAGCTGCTGTCTTTTCGATGATTACGTAAGCACACCCACGGATTTCTTTATCCTCATCATTCAGCAATGGAAACATTCGATCCATCAAGTCCACATGAGCTGTTTGCTGAGGTCAGTGTTTAATAATAAGAGAATAAAAAAAGGTGGTTTTTTTTTAGTGAAAGTGAAAACTTGAGTGTTTTTTTTTTTTTTTTTTTTTTTTTTTTACAGGATCGGCTTGAAGAATGGATAAAAGTTGGTACAACATGGGTTTGACAGATGCGTTGTTTGTTATTCCTTGTAAAATGGTGTCGATGGTTACGTTCGATGGGGCAGGTACCTACATGAGTGAATAAAACACGTTATATAAAAAAGAAAGTCTGTGTTTCCGAGTGGCTTCTTTTAGTTACGTCTCCAACATGATCACCGTTTAAGTAAACTTGATGACTTTTGAAAATGCTCATGTGTCGTCCCTTTGATTCTTTTTTATGAGAGAAAAGAGAAAGAGATACAAAAGTTGTGTGTCAGAGCACACATATACAAACATGCGCGCTCTTTAAAACTTTATTTTTGGGTGGATTTTAATAGCCATTTTGACAAGAACGTCAATTCCTTCAAGTAATGTCTCAGCAGTAAAAGTAGCAGTGAACCGTATCTACCGCATTCCATCTGCCGCAAGCTTCATTGCATGTATGATGTGCATACACATATACAAAAAAAAAAAAGAGAGAGAGAGAGAGCCCGCAATCCTTATCCATAATTTTTATTGCTATTTACATATAAAACATATCCCACAAACCACATGAATCACATGCGACCAAGAGTGTGTTATCTGTTCCTGGTTCAAGAGAAACTTCAATGGGTCCTTGACATTGTTGCGCATGAGAAAAGGAGGCAGCATCGATCTGAGCGAGACACGATTCTGTTGCATAAAATCCACAGGTGGGACAAGACGCAAGTTGTGATGTGAATGTTAATACACTTTTTTTACAGGACACACATTGTCTGGACTGTTCATAACACGCGATAGCCTCTTCCAGTTCCTGTTCTTCCAATAATAAATGCACTTGTGTTTCATCGTCATTGTGTATACTTTCACTAATGAGATCATTAATATCCATTATGCCTTCCTCTCTCATTGTTTGTTCATTTAGGCGAACGAATTCAGCCCATTCGTTTTGAATCATGTGTTGCATAAACTGTTCATACAGAAAAAGAAAGAGTGTTGTTTTAATACAGTGAAACCTTTTCAGGGACTGCGATCCATATGTGTCTTTGTGTTTATGAGTGTGTACCAAACCTGTTCTTGTCTGTTTTGATTTACTTTTGCTTGTCGATCATTCTTCATGCGATCGTTACATTGTTGTCTAAATTTATCTCTCCACCGGCGTTTGTTATCTGCCAAGTCCTTTACGGGTCTTCGCACAGAGTTCATCATGGCTGAAAAAAAAAGAATGAAGACAGAAAGGGGAGGTTTTTTTTTAGCGTCTCCGACACGACACGCTTAAAACACGGTGATTCATACAAAAAATAAATATTGAGGTGGACTGGCTTTTTAACCATTTTCTTCACACACAATACACACCATGGAGAGATCGCGTGAACTGATGGATAACGTAGAGTTAAAGAAAGAACAGTACAGAAAACTCAATGTGGAACTAGCAAAAATGGAACAAAATTTACAACGATTGAATACAAATGTAAAGGAAACCTTGGAACAAGCACCAGTCTTTCGAGAAATGGGAACTTATCATGCTTCCTTGTAAGGTTTTTTTATGATCTTGTAACAACACTTTTGAGCTAATTCTTGTGTAAACATGTAGATTCATGGCGATGCAGCAGGCTACGAAACCTAAAGATACCCCACGCTAATTTATCACCCAGAATGAAAAAAAATAAAATAAAGATTATACACAGTGTTTTCAACCAAGGACCGCCCTCGTCACCCGTCATACTGACATGCAGTAAGATTCAATGGTAGAGAGTGAATCGAATAGCTCAACCTGGGTGGTGGGGGTGAATACGAATTGGGACTAACACGGCTTTTTTCAACAAAACAAAACAAAACAATGATGAAATGGATTGTATCACCTACAAATAGGATACGATTTCAGGAACAGGAAAGAGGGACGAATTTGTTAAAATGGTTACGAACTGCAGAAGCATCTTTTTCAGAAGTTGTCATGTACATTTAAGCTTTATTGTTTGTTATTTTTTTTTTCTGGATGATGAACACCCATATGATTGATTGCAGTAACTTTTTTTTTTTGGATCGAGTACGGATTATGTCTGCCTTTTGATGAAAACTTTGGAATTAGTGTTTCACATACATGTAAATGTCTGAATCACCCAAACATGATTTGAACTTAGCATCGCATTGTTTCCTCTGTACTGCAAAACAAATGGATCTAAAAATAAACCGTGTATGTGTAACACTGTCAAGAATGAGTACAACCAAAAGATTGCCAAGCAGTGTTATTGTTATTCCTTTTTCTTCTTTCTTTTTTTTTTTAATAAAGAAATAAAAATAACCATTGCTATGGCTATTGACGTAAAATACAGATATGTTATGGGAATAGGTACGCTTTTTCGTTGTTGTTTCGAAAGTAACGGAGACTAGACTTTCATTCAAATCTTGTTTAGAATTGGGTGATTTGTTCTCTTCAGTATCTGTGGCTCACGTAAAAGATCCGGCCAATATATATAGTGTCGAGAGCTGGTATCTAATAAATAAAGGTTCTAATCAAAATTACATACATACTCAATCCAATTTATTTCCAGGGACAATGAACAGGAAGCATGGACTAATAGACACTATCGATTTCCTACATCAATCAGGTACAATAACGATTGGATGGGGACCAAATCTCTTGGGGTTGAGTATGACACCAATAACATGGACGACCATGGCTCAACTTCAATATACCAAATCAAGCAATATTTATTCCACCCTGACAAATCCAACGAAATACTTGGAAAAATGAAGAAAGGGCTCACCATCAAAAAAGTACTGGCGGATTTTCTGGCAGGTTTTGTCCAATTAGCGCGCAGGAGATTTCGGGTGCATGAACAATTCCAGAAAAGCCAGTTCTATGATAACGATTTAAAGGCCAAATATATTCATTATAGAGTAGCTTGCCCTAGTTCTTTACAAGGATTAATGAGAGAATGTTTTGTTTATGCTGGAATTACCGACAATTACAAACTTGAACAACAATTATCTTTTGTAACCGAGGTGGAGGCCATTGCTTATCATCAAATTGCTTTAGACAGGAAAATCACGGGGCTGAAAATCGATCAAAGTTATCTGATTTGCAGTGTAAGCGAGAATTCGGTTGGTATTGCTGATATATGTGTAGATACAACTGAAGCGCTTAGTACAGTAGAATTGGTGGGTGAAAATTTGAAGGGTGGATCTACGGCCTTGGAAAATCGATTTCGAGATTATCTGGAAGAAAGATGCATTTGGTTCAATCAAAGTCCCGAGACTATCGAAAAGGCATGTTCTGATTTTCTGGACACCATGAAGGTAACCCACGTTTATCTTAAACTTTTAATCATCCAGACGTTAACGAATGTTCAGTTTGGATTTAAAGTAATAGATCCCAACGCATGTGCTTTCGAATTACAAGATGTAAACAAAAACACCGTCCATATTTCCTACGAAAATCTTGACCGAGCTGTGTTTTTACCGTATATCGATACTATTATTCAATGCATCCTTGATATATACAAAAAATTAAAAGGAAACCGTCAACTTCTTCTTTCTGGAAAGTATGGCCAAGACCCTTATTTTATCAAGCACTTGGTCTATGATATTGATGAAACTTGTTTACAACGTGTTGACCTTGTTAAAAATTTATTTGATTCCATATCCTCTGGTGCTGTCACTTCTGCTTTAAGGAAAAGTGAGGTTCGTACCCCTTTATTTCATTCTCATAGTAATGATTTGGTTGAGGAAGACTATTATGCTGACAGAAGAACTGATAACATTGAAGAAGATTACGATTTTATTGTTGGATTAGGTAAAGTATATTTTTTTTTTGATATAGTCAGCTCGGTCGATTTAACTTTCAAGTAAAAAAAAAAAAAAAAGATATCGGTGCTTCGTTTTCTGGATGCTCTTACATTAATCTAAAGGGTGAAAATTGTATTAAAATGTTTAAAAAAGAGTGGTGGTAATAATGATTAGTTTTCTCATAATTTCAAGGTTCAGTTTTCTCATTTTTCATTCATATAAATAGGCCAGGTTCGGATTCGGAGCTCGCCGGCTCCAGAATTCCAACGTTATTAATGGTCGATAAATACATGAGGCCTGTCTTTTGGGGGAATAAAGCTAAAAATGAAGCGGATAACAATAAGGACAATGAACGCCTTGCTCTTCTAGAAGGATTTACATTATTCTCACATACGGAGTCCTTAAATCGTTTTTATGGCGATGGTGATAAAGCGTTGGAAGATATACGATCAAACAACAATTATGGAACTGATTGTGATAGACATGAACATCATCTCTTCAAGTACCTCTATGACCTTAAGGACGATCACAAAAATAAATCCACTGCCACCAGAAATATGTCTGCAATGGATGCCATGACTTGTTTTTTAAAAGTTTATACAGACTATATAGTGAAATTTATCGTCGAGGGCGAAAAACTAGTATTACTCAAGACATCGAGCAAAGCATTTCTTTTAAACAAGTACAAATTCAAGTTTGTTATGAATGTGCCGGCAATGTGTGATGCATCTGACCAAGAAAGATTAATTCAATCTGCTATTCAGGCTGGAATTATCAATGAAGACTCCCGTCACCGACTATTGCTTGTAGATGAACACGAAGCCGCTATTCTTGCTTGTGAGAATGAATTGTGCCAATTGTTTAAAAATGGTGACGGACTAGACAACTACGCGAGAGACCAGGATTGGAAAAACATCATTGTGTTGGATGCTGGTGGGTTGACTGTCAATGCATCGACTTATCAATGGAGACCCTATAATAAAAAAAACCAAGAAAGACATATAAATCAACTTGGAGACCGGATAGGAGATTTATGTGGCTCTACATTTTTGGACATAGGTTACAAGAAATATCTTTTGCAACTTTATAAAAATATGGGCATCGATCCCAATGGAACCGACAACAATCTTGATAAGATTTTGCTTCAATTTTCAAACAAATTTAAGGTACCGTCATAATATCGTTGTTTTATAAAAAAAAAGTATCGTTAACAATTTCATAATTATGATGCAGCCAAATGCATACATACCAATTCAGGTTAGTGATGAAAATTTCTCAGTAAGGTCAGCCGTGGATCCTCCTTATAATGTGGTATCTCAAAATACGCAATATCAATACAACCGAGATGATGGAAAAATTATTATTTCAGATAATGATATGGGACCAGAGATCTTTGATCCTGTAATTTCTCACATCCTAAATCTTTTAAAGCGGCAAGTAAAGCAAGCCGAAGACGATGGAAGAAAAATCGACTCTATTCTTATGGTTGGCGGGTTTTCTCAATCCGCTTATTTAAGACAGAAAATCCAATCTACACCCCTTTTGAACCTTCCGCTTGTTACTCCAAAGGACATGACAAGCACCTTTTCCCGCGGTGCTGTGTCATATGGGATCATAGAAAATCCAAAGACTAGAAATATTGATGAGGATAAACATTTTTCATTGGAGGTACAGATACCTTTGACGTCTTTAGAAATGACAGATCCCCAACTTAAAAAAGTGAAAGGCTTGAACGGAAAATCTTATGCAAAAGGTCGTTTAAAACACTTTTTAAAAAAAGGTCATTGTACGTATACCCAGAAAGTACAAACTGAGTATCCCAAGAATACAGTCATTGGTAAGTAGGAAGATTTCTGGTAGTGAATTGTTCTGAAATGCATTGACCAATCAATAATCAACATTTTTCTTTCTTAACATTATCAGCTATCTTTTCATGTGCTTCTGACACATCTGACTACGTAACAGATCGCCACATAAAAAGAGTAGAAACAATTATTACAGTATCACCAGATATAAAAGGTATAGAAGAGGGCCAAATGATTGAATTTGATGTTAGTCTTCATACCTATAATAGTGAGGTTACCGTTGTAATAAGGTGCGAAAACGACTTGGTGAATGCCGATCTTCGAATGAAAGACAACAGCCAAAAAGTTGTGAACTCCACATCAAGTATAAAGTCAGATATTTATTATCTATTAGAGCAGCAATGTGATGCTGAGCACTCCATTGTTGATTATTTCTCTAGTAGTAGGTAGACTATGTAAAATTTATAAATACATTTTAGTAGAGTTACGTTGTTTGCATATTTAGCGATTGTAGTCGAAGGTCTCTAACATAATACTGCTGTATCAGTTTCTCTTCATCTCGAATAATAAATAAAGGATTTGGAAGTTGTAGACTCTCCTTTTTCAGATAACTTCATTTATGTTTAAAGTTGATGATTACAGATTTCAAAAGACATTTGAGTTCATGTCTCGCGCTACTCTCTGGTAGGTCAAATGGACATACATAGTACTAATTATAAGAGTTTTGTTTTCAAGAGGGATTTTTGTATAGATAATACAAAAGCGTTTGTCAGGAATTGCATTTTCAGTATAAAAAGTTATGTTTTCTACACATTAAAACATGTGAATGAGTCATAAGTCTGTTTGTTATTAGTTATAGTTTCAATACTATAATACAATAAAGTCAGTTAATAGTTAGGTTAGAGGATTTTGTTTTTTACGATTATTGTTTAAATTGTTATATTAATAAATAAAAAAAGTGTTATTACTGGGCATTTGTAAAGCGAAAATAGGTATGTGTAGTATGAATGTAAAGTGTTCTACCATTGAAGTTCGACGAGTTTTTCGTATACTGCGGTAGCAAGTAAAGCATGTGTCTTTGTTGTAGGGTGTAGATCATCCCACCAAATTAGACTACCAAAGTAGGTCAATGGCACGTTAGTTGATAAAGTAACATGGGAGGGAGGTCAAAAAAAGTAAAAACAAACGACTTACTCTCTACAACTGTTACCTCCTTGGCAATCCATTCGGGATAACACCCCTGATTTATCTCCGTCAATCAGTTTTTTGAACACCCTATGTGTGTTAAAAAAGGTGGCCGATATATTGGGATTGTCTGATTGAAAGAGGCTCATCAAGTCAAACAATCTTGAATTGTAATTTGCTACTAGTCTTCTTAATTCGTAATTTGTCTGGATGGATATATTCTTGTAGATATTTGCTGCGTCTAATGGTATCAGACCCATCAAAACAATGTGATTTGCACCGCTATCGGCTAATTTATACTATCATATCGCGAAATTAAGAAACTGTAAATCTAAAGAATATTTTATGACTTACCAGATCATCCGAAATACTGTTAATAATGGCGTCCATAATATCAATTCTACCTTGTCGCTGCTGAGGATACCTTATAAATAATTCGGTCATATCATTCACACCCGTCCATATGAAGTAAGCAGAACCAACGCGTGGAGTGTTCGTTCTTTCATAAGCCTCTACTTGTGTATGCATGTCTTCAGTATACCTCAGAATTAAATTCTATGTAGAAACAAAAAAACAAAAAAACAAAAAAAATCAGTCAACTTCTCAGCAACCTATGCTTTTTTAAATAGAAAATTCTTTACATTATTAGCTGTAGAACCAGAGCGTGCGAAATCAAAAAGTTGAGCCTTGTAAATATCAGCAAGATACTCAATCCAAAGTGGGCCATCGCAAGCTCTCTGAATCTAAAACATTTGTTGTGTTAGTGATAGTTTTACATTAAATAACAGTAATTTCTTTTATACATCTGATGTGGATGGATGGAGGCTATAAAATTAAATAATTAATCATTTGAAGTAAAAAGGAAGATGAGTAAAACACGTCAAATTTCATTTATCAACTAACCTGTTTGGAGATATTTCATTTGATCCGTCTTTATAAAATCTTGTTTGGGATCCATTATCTGTATAGGAGTCCCCAAAGGCAATGACATTTTGAAAAATAGTCTTTGGTTGTAATGAATCAGCTTGAACTGACAGTTGAAGGGCGTATGAAATTAAGAGCACAAATATAAGTGTATACATTGGCACAGTGATATCAAGGAAAAAAATCTGAAAGAGATAAATAAAGAAAGAAAATATATAAAATCTTTATTTCAGGATTCCTGTAAAATACTAGAAAGTCTAGATTGGGGGTTTGAGTTTCCCTTTTAATTTCTCCCTTTTTATACTAAACACGGGGAAAAATAAATCATCACCAACGGAAAAAATATAAAACAAGCTCCCTGAAAATGTCTCAACTACTCTTCTCACCCCCACCCAAGAAGAAACAGAAGAAGAAGCATAAAAAAAAAAGAAAAAAAAATTAGAAACCTTCCGGCAGCACAAAGATACAAATAAAGTAATGTCTTAACATTGATCGCCCGTCCTATTGTTAACTTTGAATAATGACAGCCAAAACAAATAATGCAATAACTTTAATGGTCATGATCATATATCAAAAAAATTTGATATTGAGTCGTTGAAGGTTTGCATGTCTCACTATTTCGATATCCGTGAACGTAAGGTTACTTTAAAAGGGTTTTGTAACATATTGGTTAATGCAATCTGTCTCAGTTGTCTGCAAAGATAACGTCATATTGTAATATTTGTTTATTTGTAAATTTCAATCTTTAACTTAAAAGTTCAATTACATGTTTTAAAGCTGATAAAAAATCATCTTTGATAACTTTGGTTGTCCCATGCATTTCAGATGATAGCACTCCGGCGAAATCATTGGGCTGAAAAAGGTATGGTCTCACTCTTTCGCATCATCTATTTTATCAATTTGACATGAATGTGTTACCTGTATGTATTGACCCTTGCTTAATGAGATCTGAACACTAAACACACTATTTATCATGTCACATACCTTTAAGATGAATTTAATAAAATATGCATATTAGAATAATAATTCTAGAGAGTAGAGAAGCGGTTCATAACAGTGATATTATAATAACGGTAGTTTCTATAATAATATACAAAAGTAGACTGCGTTATTTTTTAGCATTAAATATGTAAATAATTTTATTCGACAAGTGATATTTCTGATTGTAAACAATAAGGTATAATCTAATTGGGGGTAGGGGCGGAGCCACTGTGTGAAGAATAGTGGCTGGAGTACGAGTAATGATAATGGTAGCTGCTTGATCCTTTTGATCTTGAAGCGGATTTATTACTTGATTTTGAGGATCTTGAAGCAGATTTATTGCTTGATTTTGATGATCTGCTGGGAGGAGCAGATTTGCCAGTAGGTCTTGGAGAAGCAGAGGGCCTACTGTTGGATCGAGAGGCCTCAGATGATCTTCCGCTGGATCGAGGAGCAGCAGTAGGTCTAGCACTGGATCGAACGACGGAAGATATTTTTCCATCCCGGCCACGACCAACGCCAATATGAACACCATCATTAAGATCAATACCGATATGTAAGCCACTACTACGGTCATCATCATCATCATCCTCATCTTCGTCATCGTCATCATAGTCATAATCATCATCATAGTCATTACCAATGTTAATACCTACAATATCATCCAGATCGTCGACAAGATCACCAATGTTATCAAATAAATTGCCTAAAAGACCAGTTTGTTTGATATCTTGTTGAGTGGTTTCAACAAATTCTCTGGGTTGCGCATAAAAGTATGCGGCGTTAACAAGCTTAAGATTGTTTTCGGCAGCAAATGTTTTGACGTTGAAAAACTTGCGATCTTCAAGAGCAGGAATAACGGCATTCTTGTTTTCTTGTTCGAACAGAGCATAGACGACGCGATGGTTGGCGGATCCGGGTGGAAGGATGGGCCCACGATAGGTTGCCAATTGATTTCCCGACTCCAAATCCTTACCTAATATACTCGTGATCAATAAATAGAAAGCGTTACATGGAAACTAAGACTTACCATGAATATTGGAAGTCATCCAGTGAACAATTTGAGACGCGTTTGAATCCAAATTGATCTTCAGAAGCAAGAAAAAAAAATGGGCATTAAGAATCAGACGGGACTTTGCAATTAAAAAATCGAGATGTTTTTATAATTACCATAGCCAAAGTGTACTCGGTGTCATTCTTGGGAGTAAATGAAATACGGGGAGCTGTGATGGTAATCTCGGATTGAAGGGCATCACCGTTTTCCAGTAAGATATCCTCACCATAAGTAACGCTTAATTCAGCCGTTGGTTCAAAATCATCAAAGGCTAAATTGTTTATTTACAGTAAGGTTTGAGTTACAAACAAATGTTTACGCAAACACAACGTACCATCGGGAATAATCTGTCCTTTCATCAACTCTGCCTTGATTTTTTTGGCATCCAATGCGTGGACTGCGCCCAAAAAGAAACTTGCTGCAGTAGAAAGTAAAATAAAAGTGACCTTCATATTTTTAAGAGTAAACTACCAAAAAAATAAAAAATTGTATTGTGCAATAGAAAGTATAAAAAAAAAACCGTTGTCTCCCTTTTATGCATAAAAAATAAAAAATCGAATTAGAAAATGCGCCATCTCTTTTACAACATTCTTCTAGCTCTGGTATGTGATACATGCAACACTTCCAGAAATCAAAAGGTCTTAAAGTCCGGAAAAATTAGTTTCACAAGTAAACAAACAGAAAAAACTTTAGAGTGGCTGGCTGGCAGAAAGACTTGGAAATTTATTGATCAGGTTTACTAATCCTCACAAATCCTGATGGTCTGGTTAACAATTGCGTATTAAGTTGAGCGTATTCTCACTGTAAATTGCATAGATAATACGTTAACTATCCTTTACTACAAAAGAAGCCTTCATGGATATTCTAAACCAACCATCATTCCAAAATTCATCTTGTCTATTGTTTATAATGTTTAATATCGGGGTCGGTAAAGTTTACTCAATGCAGAAAATTGTGATTATTTACAAGAATATTTATTATGCGTATTATATATTTGGTTTTTCCTTTCTCTCTTACACAACTTCAATCAGATCCTCATCTTCTAATTCGGTGTCTTCAATTGTTAAGTCGAGATCCAAGACTTCACCTTCGAAAGAAAGATTTACATTGCCAGTAACGCCGGCATGTTGCTTGTAAGAATTCAGCAATGAAGACAAAGTTGCAGTCTGTAAAAAATATATCAGTTGGTCAGGCATATCCTGCTTTAAACATATGCATATAATGTAAGGCACTTACAGGTCTCACACGTAATGTGATGTCTTTTTTGTCTTTTCCTCTTAGTTTAAGCAAGATCTTTTCGGATTCGCTTTCCTCAACAGGAGGTGCCGACGGCACAATATCTTCCTCCTCATAATCTTCCTCCTCAGCCTGTTTCGCTGCATATCTGTTCATTCTCTCTAATTTTTGTTGTTTCTTTTTCTCCAGCATAGCGTTATAGCTTTGCGTTGAGTAAACATCTATAGGATGATCGTATAGATAAATAACAAAATAATTAATAATACGATATATCATTACATACGCATGTTGTAGATCTGGATGTCGTCCATCCCTAAACCAGCAGGTGTCCCACTTAGGAAAATTTGATCGTCATTATAAGTCAAGACAACGTCCGAGCTTTTCAAGTTTTTCTTTGCGCAATATGAATCTAGAACCTTACGGAATTGCTCATTCTAAATATCGTTCTTTGATTAATAACCAATGTCGAGTATCTATATGTTTAGTACTCACGTCCATAAGAATGACTTTAACAGGTTTCATCAGGGTCTTAAGTATTTCTTGTGCTCGTTCAGTTGTTACCTCAAAACTATGCACATAATGCAATCGTACAGTGACTTTAAGTGGCTGGGTCGAGCTAGTGGATGTTGATTCGTTCATAAGAGCCGCCAATTCGGGATCGAGATCTTCTATGTCGGTTCCTGGCATCGCAATTTCCTCCTCCTTTTCCTCTTCATCTGATAATTCACTTTAACGTCCAGTTAATCTTTTTTAGTATGTGTATAAGAAAACGTTGTTATAAACATACATTAAATCACCCACTTGGCTTGAGTGCTTGGTAGCAGTTGGTTTTTTTTTAGGTTGTTCCCGTGAAGCTTTCCTTATGGGCTGTGCCATAAGTGCCTCGGCGGCTGCGATATATTCAGCGGTGGTAGATATATTGTTATTTATTATATCTTGATCATTATTTTCTTGACTTTCAGCTTCTTTTGTGGGAGCCATGTTACGGACTGGTGAAGATTTACGTTGAGTGGGTTTTGTTGTCTTTTTCTTTGGTGCTTCGTCCTCGGAATCAGAGTCCATTAAACCCATCGCTTTGCCTAAAAAACAAAAGATAAATAAATAGATAAAATATTGAAGAGTAACATGGGCAATAAGAAGCCTTACGCTTTTGGAGAGAAGCAGCAAAGGTACTAGCATTTTTCAAGCTGGCAATGTCGAAATCGCTCATAAAAAGATAAAGAACAAAAAATAAGAATTTTCCCTTTTTTTTTCTCTCTCTCTCTCTCTTCTTTCTTTCTGAATTCTTGTGCGACTCTAACCTGAGCAAGTCACACAGCCTTTAAAGTTACAGCAGACAAGTTTATCACACTCTTTTCCCTTTTTACAGAAATTATAAATGAGTTCAGCCTTTTATTCGTTCATCAGTTCAGTTACGAACTCCATTACTTCAAGATATGATATTAAAGCACAAATTTCTTCCTCTGGATTATGGAAAATATACCAAGGCGAACGAAAGACTACCGGAAAGAAAGTTGCTATATTTGTACGTGTGGCTTCACTTGATATACGTTTCAATGAAGGGAAGCTTATCTTTTGTTTATATACCACATAGATTTTTGAGAAAAAGACGTTAGAATCCAACTTTAGACGCGAGCGTGGTTCCTCAAAACAGGATACAGACATGGTCTACGAATTATTAAAGAAAGAGGTAAGCCCCGTCTCGTCTTACCCCGAAAACAATACAATATTCATAATCCCACCATAGGCTGGAAATTTAGCAAAACTACGACACCCTTCTATCCTCGAAGTGGTAGAACCCGTAAATGAATCACGTAGCTCGATTGTTTTTGTCACTGAACCACTTATGGGCTCTTTAACGCACTTGGTAAAGAGTTCCGAAAACTACTCTTCAGAATCACAAGAACCCAGTCTAGATCTCGACGAATTGGAGGTACAACACCCATAATTAAGTGCAGCATATACAGCCTTGTTTATACAACTTTCTTTTATTTCTTTTAATGCAGATTCAAAAAGGGTTACTGCAAGTGGGTAAAGGACTTCAGTTCTTTAACGATGCCAAGGTAGTTCATCACAATCTTACAACAGACGCTATTTTTGTAAATGCGAAGGTAAATTATGCTTTTTCAGAAAACAAGCTCGTTTTTTTTAATTGACATCTACGAATAGGGTGATTGGAAGATTGGCGGGTAATATTCATTATATTGGAGAGTCTGTTTTTTTTAAACAAGGAAATAACACACGGACCTTTTATTAAAAATTATAGGTTAGGCTTTAGTGTGTTCCTGAATAACGGAAATCCAATTGAAGCGTCAAACGATAATAACGATTATTTGCCAGAAGCCTGTCAGATTAACATGGATTATGCTGGTAAAATGGAATTGTGCACATGAATGACGGAAATAACTAACAACAAAAAAAAAGCACCTGAATATGTGATTGATAGCAGTATTTGCCAAGCAAATGATATGTTTTCTCTTGGCTGTCTGGCTTACGCAGTACACAACAAGGGTGTTTCTCTACTGAAGACATTCAATAGTTTTCATACTTATGAAAAGCAAATCAAATTCATTCATTCACAGTCTTTTACAAATATTCCGGATCATTTAGACGAAGTGATTCGTGCATTGTTGGTACGACATCCAAACCAAAGAATGACGCCTATTGAATTTCAAAACTCCAAATATTTCGACAATTTACTTGTATCGACCATGAAATTTTTGGAAAGTTTTCCTGAAAAGACGAGAGAAGAGAAAGCTCAGTTTATGAAGGGATTGGCCCGAGTATTAGGACAATTTCCCGAACGTGTTTTAAAACGAAAGGTAAAGCAACATGTGCTAAAAAAAAGGGATTTTTTTTAACCGAATATTATCTTTTCCATTCTTGTATATTAGATTTTGCCTTCTCTTTTAGAAGAACTTAAAGATGCACAGCTGTTACCCTATACTATACCGAATATTTTTATCATTGCCCAGAAATTGAACCAGCACGAATTTTGTGATTTGGTTTTACCCGCTTTAAAGCCAGTATTCAGTGTCAGAGACCCACCACAAAATATGATTGTGTTGCTAGAAAAACTAGACGTGTTACAACAAAAGACTCCCCGAGAAACATTTCGTGATGGTAAAAAATCATACCGCTTTAATCAAAATTGTCAAAATATTTATCAACTTTTTAAATCATTAGATGTCATGCCTCTTGTTTATGCCGCTTTGGAAACACCCACCGCTATGGTTCAAGAGAAAGCACTGCGCATTATCCCATCGTTGGCTGAATCTTTAGATTATACAGCTGTTAAAAGTTCCTTATTTCCAAGAGTACAAGCCGTTTTTGTACAAACGACGGTGCTCTCTGTCAAAGTCAGTACGCTGATTTGCTTTCATTCGATGATTAAGGTTTTAGACAAGTTTACAGTGCAAGAAAAATTAGTGCCACTTTTGAAAAATATCAAAACAAAAGAACCCGCTGTCATGGTATGTTTGCAGCCTTTTTTTTTTTTTTTTTTTTTTTTTTTTTTTTTTTTTTGGAATATAAATTATTCTTACATGACATTCTTTTTTTTTTCTTCTAGTTGGCTACTTTAGCAGTGTACGATGAAGTTGGAAAGATAGCGGATAAAGAAATCATTGCAACCGAAATTTTGCCGCAGCTGTGGAGAATGAGTTTTGGTCCATTATTAAATTTGGAGCAGGTAAACAAAAACCAGAAATAATAGCCAAATCTACAAATTAACGCGAAACGTTCAAACAGTTTCAAAAGTTTATGAAGACAATTCATGATTTAACAAAGAGAGTGGAAGATGCGCATATAAGGCATTTAAAGGAGGTGAAATCATTAGAAGAACAAACGCGAAATGTAAGCTCAACATCATCACCACAACCCGTAAATGCACCCTCTACCAATGATACGAATGTCTCTTTTGAGAGTCTTGTTGGCTCTAAGACTCCCCAAGTAAAAAATGGAGACGATATGTTTGGCTCGTTCTCAAGTAACCAAGCTACACCACAGCCATGGTCATCCTCGTCGACAAATCAAGCTATAAAACCTACACCTTCTTCGTCCAATGGATGGGTGGCTCCTCAAACAACAACGCCTACCAATAACTGGAATACCCCCAAACCCGTCACCCCCCAACAACAACCGTCCAGCAATTGGAATACAACCATGTCACCTAATATCAATACGCAAAAACCGATGAATGCTACGAATACTTGGAATTCTCCATTACAAACTAAACAAACGACAGGCTGGTCTCCCTCTGTACAATCACAACAAATTCCTTCTTTATCCACACCTCCATCCTTCCAAAGTAACCTATATAACCAAAATAGCTCGATGAACGGCTCCAATTTCAATGCTCTTAGAAGTATACCAGTGACTCCCCAAAAACAGCCCACTATGATGCCATTGTCTTCTGGTATGGGCTTATTACAGCCTATTCAGTCTTCCCCAAACTCAAACATAAACAACAATATCTCCCAAGTTAAAAAGATGGCCAATCTGCATGCTTTTGATCCACTTGGATGAATCATCTATGGTTTAAAATAAAATATAATAGCATCACTTTCATAATGATAGTTTCGGATATAATTTTCAAATGTGCCTTGAGGGACTATCATCAGTATGTACAAACGCTGCTTGTTTAATGCTGCTTATTCTTTTTATCTAATATTAACCATATTCCACAAATCAAGAAATTTGATCCTATGATTCTAATTATTTTACATATAAAAAAAAATAGCATTTCATAACGCAGAAATGATATACATTAGAAGGCCCTGATAAACAGAAGCAAATAATACAACTTTAGCCAATTTTCTAATTGCGCTTAATTTTTCTGTCGAAGCTTGTTTGAGAGAAAGATTCACTCGCGGCCCATACTTTTTTCTTTTAGGTTTAAAAGTTAATTGCGTATCAATAGTATTTTATCTGTTATCAACAATACAAATATAAGGAACCCTTTGACAGAAAATTGGAGGGTGAATTCAACACTAAAAAAAAATGACAGGGTGAGGATTACGACAGGAGAATGTTTTAGTAAGCCTGCAATAAAGGACATCGGCGTCAAAGTATGACAGCACAACACTATTTCATCTTTTACCGATATGGTCTCTGTTTGTAGTCGTGTATTCGAGTTAAAGTTTATTTTTGGGGCTCACTTTATGATTGTAATGACCTTTGTCTATTAGAAAACTGGAAATAGATGAAATACAGTCCCCTTTTAGGTCTTTTAAAGATATATGCCTTGCATGACAGTGTCCAGCAAGCATAGTTTTAAGTATGCTGCTGTAAAAAATGGAGAAGATGATCTTTATGCAAATGCGTTGTTTGTTTTTGTAAGGATGATTTTTAAAGATGGCTGATACAAATCAAAGATTTTAAAAATGATTGGCCATAATACAACTGTGGCGTACGAACTCAATTTGTGCGTCAGTAAAACAGCCTTGGCTTTTTTTTTTTTTTTTTTTTTTTTTTTTTTTTTTTTTTTTTTTTTTTTTTTGCTCTAATATCAAATACTATGATAAAAAACACTTTATGGAGATGGACTCCAGAATGCTTATTAAGAAGTTGGAGAAAGAGTCTTTGATTCGATGGACTGAAGTCAGAGACCCAAGCGTCGCTCTCGAGGCCACAACTAGTTAAAAGACCTACCTAAACGGCACAATAAAAAACAGTCGCAAAGCCTACAAAACCGATTGGCAATGGCATCTATAATGAATCCATTGATTGAACTACGGGGACTTCCAGAAAACGGAAGATCAAAGGTCCCTTGGAGTGGAACTGTTATGAGAAAACTGAAGCACTAATCTTCATGAACACGCAAAGAATCGAATTCAACATGTTTTGTTTACTGTAAAGCATGAATAGCTTGTTCAGCGCTTTATGAGAAAAGAGTCGTTTATTTGTTCTGATACTACTATGGACTCTTTGACAATGAAGTTTGAGGACTTTGATTTCCCAAAGTCCAGACGAACCACCACGAAACAACATACTGAATATTACTTGAAAACAGGACACAAGTGGTTCGCGAATGGAAAGACTCAGATCTATATAATACTAAAAGTTGGCATTTCGCAGATCAAGCCGGATTTAATACTAAGTTGAGGAACAATAGTTAATAGACCAGACAAAGTAGAGATTGCAACGGCCGGTTTACCCTCTCAAATTATTATGGGTGATATTTACTGCACTAGCGACATTCATGTTGTTTTGAAAAAAAAAAAAAAAAAAACGCTACTTAAAAAGCAAAGAGACCCGAAAACTCAAGAATCGAAAACGACCTTGCCTTGAAAAAGAAAGTTTCCAGATGGTAAATACTAAAGGGCAAGTGATATTATAATGGAAACACCTGCCATGGAGTATATTAATGTTGAGGAGACAACTTTTGAAAAAAACTACAAGCCATCAGCAAAGGGTTCAGCTACTGCGAGAGCTTCAACATTATATTTTTTAAAATGGGCCACTTTGGGCATGACTGTTAGTTGTATGGGTAGCTTTTTTGTAATATATAATTGTATTATATCAGTCTCTTCCAATTAAACAATATTGTAGCATAACGCATTTACCTCCCTATTCGCCAAGATTAAATCTATTAAATAGTTCTGAAATCCGGTAAAAGGGGAAATGAGATGACACGAAGGAAGTTTTATTTCAATGCAATAATATGTGCCTCAGGAATATCACGTGCCGTATCGCATACCTATCTATTGTAACACTTGCTGAGGATGCCCTAGATTGTAATAAAGGAATCATCAAATAACATGCTAATGGTGGATGGCTATGCATAAATATTCATAATTCAGGCATCGCACCATTTTTTATCATCGAAAACGTTGGTGTCTGTGCATAAGGTTGTTCAGCTTATGCGGAGTAAGATATTATAAAACAATAAACTTATAGTACAATCCCGTAGCTTGATTATTTGGTTTCTGAATTTCACCCGCACTAAGCTTTCTCTTTGGCGCTTACGTAATGACTTCAGCGGAGATGAATTTAGATCTTCATGAATTTTGCCTTTACCGTGTAAGGCGGGAATTACTTTAAAACATACTTCTTTACAAAGATATTACATATAGCACTATATCATATTCCTCCAGAATGTCACATACATTATTCGAAAGCCATTTACTCATTTAGCATAATCATTTGTAGTACTTCTAAGTAGAGTAACATACTTTAAATTTTCCCGGAATAAAAGATGTAGTTACGCAAAGTTCTAACAATGTTTTCTTCATTACCCATAATGTACATTGTATGTCTATCTGAACCACAGGTTAACCGGCAAGCGAAACCTGCAATTTCCTCTTCAGGTCAGCTTACAAGTCTAAAGATGCAGATCAAGAGACGAACATGGACAACTTTGACATCTTGTTTACCATTTTCAATGCATGCTAAAAAACCGACGTGCTATTTTTAAAATTCGTAATGAACAAGCAGAAAAATAAAACAAAAAAATAATTTATAAGAGAAATTATTAACCGGATTGCAAGATAACTTGTATTTATTAAATATTAAAATAAAAGGTTATTTTATACACATTGAACACAACCATAACTGTAAATAATGGAAAAGCTAACATCGTGGGTAAATTTTCTTCATAAATCATCCAAATTGTCGTATTTGACGTCTAATTCCACGAATATAATTACTCTTATCTTGTCACTCAATTATAATACATATAACCTATGTATTATAAGTACCATATTGCGAATACATTCCTCTTGGTACGACACAGTACCAGCTCCCTCATATGTCAAACTGAGATCAGATTTCGTAATCGTTCCTGGATTGGTCGAGTAGCTGCCGAATCTTCTAGTTTCTCATAAATTTATTTTAGTAATCCAATCAAGGACCCTGTCATTGAATGGATAAACTATAATGCTCTAGAAGTGCCGGATATGGGTCAACTAGCTCCTTGTATATAACAATAAGCTATGTTTCATATGTAACTGATTTCTAAATCTAATTCTACCATTTCCCAGTTTGCGGGTAAATAGTCAATTCGATCTGCGCAGGAAAAATCTTGAAGTAATAATTGAATATAAAAAGGACCTCTATTTTTATCATGACAAACTCTCCAACTTATAATAAAGGATTATAGAGTCTCATTTCTTTACTTGCTTTATTTTCCCAAATACTTTTCCCTTTTTATTCTCAATTTTCACACAAATTGTCAATTCTCCGCAAGGTACATCAAGGATAATAAAATAACAATCCGTAACTGAAAAATACTCCCTTATTATTACATGAATTTTAGGAGAACAGCCGACATATGTCAAAATATGAAAGATGATAAACTACTTCAATCGCCGGAGGGTACCGATACTGTGATGTATATACTCGTAGAATACAACACAAACATGTGTATATATACATTCTTCTTCATTACTACTTTTAACATATTAATTTCTTCCATACGTTTAAATTCCTTCTTACCTGGCTTGGTGTTACTACTCCTGACACATCACCACTTTACGTATTTTCCTTGAGTGCACGGCATTAATAAAAAAAGGAATCCGCTAAAGACGGTCATTAATTTAAAGTATCACTGTACTAAAATCGCACTATTTAACATATAAAATCGCATATAAAATCATTCCATCTATCCTTGATCGACAGGTACATAATATCATAATACTCATAAAAAATAATAGCATATAAAATATCCTGAGTTATACATTTACAACTCAGGGTTACTAGATATTCCAATAGAAGATCCCATTTCGAATAATAGATTGGTTACACTGATAAGGCTCATCAGTCATTAGTAAATACAGCCAATAATACCAAGTTAACACAAACTAGCCCATAATTTTACCCACGCTTTAAATAACTATAAATACCACCCCTTTCTTTCAGAGATGAAAGAGGGATTCACTTTTAATAAGAATAAAAAAGCCTACAAGCAATATTAATCTTATTCTTCCTGTTTTTTTATCTTTTATTTTTCCGTGTCAAACAAACCGTTTTTCCACAATCACGGTATCGTAATACCAATGTCCAAACTTAGACATGTTATTGTTATTATTTCTCTATTGACTATGCGTAGCACTAATTGTCCAACATAGATATTGCCATTGATAGCATACTCAAGTTGTTAATAGTAGTATCCTCAGCCTCGTCTCTTCCATTTATTATAGATACTCTTTACTTTTGGTCTTCTTAAATCTTTAGTTAACTTTAACATCAATAAATCTGACAAGAATTCTAATTGATCCTATTGGTTTTTTTACATATAACCTTTTTTATGCAAAACTACCAATCTTAAGCCTATTTTTGCTATAGACTAAATACGGACCTATATTTCCCATGGTTTAATCCATCATTGTTGAAGGATGCAGCAGATACCTGGTACGTACGCATATGCGTGCCTCTATTATCAAAGAGGAAATTGCAAGGTCATTCCTCGGATAAGAGGTCATCCATACAATATCCGTCAATTACATTGCAAAGCTTCTAGTTAGCTAAGCTCTTTTTGTCGTTGATTGTGATTTACCTGGTCTCGGTTTGCTTGTTCTTAGCATTCTTGCTTTCATTGGTTACCCTGTCTATCTTGAGATCTTTTTGGATGTTGACAGGGAAAACGGAAAAGATAATGAATAGCCTCTTGAGAGTACCTTATTCATTAAGGAAAGTAAAGCAAAAATAAGGGAAAGATGATTATGAATTAAATCTGATAAAAACAACCGAGAGAAGTGAAACTTATCAGCTCTATTTATAGAAAAATAAAACAAGAAATTAATTAAAAGGATAAGCCATGATAAGTTTAGTCATAGCTTATGTGAATCATGACAAACAAATTTAAAGAGCCGAAAGATCAAGGATAAAGATTGAGTCAAAAGGCTGTTTACTCTTAAAGCATACATTTGTGATAACGTGTAACAGGATTATGACAATTCCTTTCCAATGACATTCTAGAAAATGAAACATAGTTTACGTAAACTGCTAACCCAAGACGTGGATAAAGAGTATTAACAAATTATCATATAATCTGGCATATATTTCCACGTAAATAAACCTACTGTAATATTGTAGATATCAAAATGGTTTTTAAAAATAATAAAAGTAAAGATAAACTTTTATTAAGAGTGGAATTAGCTCTTATTTATACTTTTACGAAGCTGTGTGTAAATTAATAGTAAATCCGATTGAGCTTTACTATTCAATCGTTTATCCATGTATTCTTATTCGTCCATGGCAATCTTTTCATTATTACGATCTCCAGTTTGTCTACTGAGATCTATTATTGGATTTATATTGTCTCTATGATTCAATAGATCTGCGATACAACACCTACTTCATAATCCAGATTGAGCGTTTGTTAAGGCAGCATTTAAGATGATGTACGTTGTACAGCATGCCAGCTTAACAATTATATAAGTTTAAGTGTAGAAAAAAAGTAATGTTGGGTTCTAAATTTAGTTTTTTAACGAGATGATAGTACCCATCCATTCTATTGGCAATTATTTAAAATAAAAACTTACTGCAATCTAATGTGATTAAAATTTGGGAATCGACTCACGTGAGCAAGAACGCTATGTCGGTCAGGTACAAAAAAAACTCGCTTAAAATTCCTCCAAGATCTCTTCCTGCATCTGTTTCAATGAATTTAAGCAAAAATGTCTTGTTATTAATGGTTTCTTTAGGAAAAGCATACTTTATCAAAAATTAGCATGTATAAAGAACATAATACTATCAAGAAGTAAATCTTTTACGCACTTTAATGCATATGATTAGCGTCCCTCTTTAAATTAAAAGAATGTAGACCTTCCTTCTTTTTACAGAGGCGAATATTACCAAACTTAGGAGAATTACACAAAAGCTATATTATTTTGTGGCTTAGATATTTTAATTTTTGTTTCCATGCGGACTTACGTCACCGTCATCCCCAGAGCAAAAAAACATCTATTATTATTTTTTAAAACGCGTATTTTTTTTTTCTTTTTTTCTTTGCGAAACTATTATTGGAAAATGATTCAGCTGCTTTTCGTTGACGTGTAAGTACGAAAGAGTATTTTCAAGTAAAGATGTTTGCACATTTCTAATGTACCAATTAAACAAATAGATTCCTCTGTGCTATGTTTTGCTTTGTTGTCAAAGTGTTTGTGTTTTTACTGTTGGAAAAGCTTGATAACTTCTTCTCGTTTTTCTGGCTTAAGGGTACAGGCCAACGTTTGCCCATTGACAATGACATTGTGGGAGAAATCACCAATGCCTTCGTGCCGGCCCTCATTTCCACCACCACCACCATTAACAACTTTCCTGTTGTTTCTTTGGAGCATATTGCTCCCACACAAACACAAACAACGTTCGGTTCTCTCCGTGAGGTTGGACCAAGTCGAGATTATCTCGCTTTTCCTCCACGCGTAGAAAAGGAGTTCCGTTGCCTTGCTCTCTGGTGTGCTTGCCTTGTCGGTGGTCCTTGTGCTGGCCGTGACTATGTGCCTTCACCTCCCAGTGAGTATGGTTTTGTTTCACGTAGTTCTGTTCCTTCTTGGGCATATGCCTGTGAGTACATTACTCGTGCCTGGATGCAGGAAAACAATGTTTTCGTTGCTCCAGTGTCTTCGGTCGTCAACCGACCAAGAAAGCAAACCTACTTGGCTTCCCACGCGGTTTCTTTCCTCTTTAGGGATAACGCGTGTTGTGCGGTTTCTTTCTCGTATGAGGATAACGCACTTTCTACGGTTTCTTCCCCTGCTGGGGATAACGTAGCTCAAGCGGTTTCTTCCTCTTATGAGGATAACGCTTCTTGTGTGGTTTCTTCCTCTTATGAGGATAACACACCTTCTGCGGTTTCTTTCCCTTATGGGGATAACGCAGCTCAAGCGGTTTCTTCCTCTTCTGAGGATAACGCTTCTTGTGTGGTTTCTTCCTCTTATGAGGATAACACACCTTCTGCGGTTTCTTTCCCTTATGGGGATAACGCAGCTCAAGCGGTTTCTTTCTCTTATGAGGATAACGCTTCTTATGCGGTTTCTTTCCCTTATGGGGATAACGCATATTACGATGATGTAGGAGTTGCTTCGGCTTCTTCCTGGTATCCAGCAAGTACAACCTCTCTCGAGAGGGCTGGTCGTCATACCTCGGTATGTCGTCCTCGTACAGCTGGCATGCGCCATCATCGTCTTCGTGCTGGACGTGGTTGGTATAGACCTAGTCCTTCACGACGCCATTATTATGGCAAACTTCGTCTTCGTGCTGCTTTGTTTGCTTGTTCTCAAGCTACAGAGACTATGGACGTTGACGTCGTTTTTTTGAATCCAACAGCTGCTGAAATGGATGATGTCTTCCCTGAACCTATGGAGATTGACTCTTTTGGGGAGTCTTTCGAAGTAGTGGATGGTTTGGCGGAATCTGTAGAGGCCGAAGAGGCTGTTGGTAATGGGTTTTGTGTTGCTCCTGTCTCTGTTCCTGAGGCAGTTTACGATGATCATGTTCCCGATCAGTTCGTTGAGCAAGATGCAGTGGACATCAACGATCTTAGCACAGAAGCTCCCTCTGATGCTAGCGATGATGGCTCATCTGTTACTGAATTCGCTGTGAATTCAGATGTGGAGTCAGTTCCTGAAGAAGTATCTCATGATGCTTCTGATGGCTTCATCCCTTACAGCTTTTTCTCCGATTCTTCTTCTGCTTCTGGTTCGGTCTCTGGTGATAGAGACGAAGAAGAGGGTTTTTCTGTGGTGGCAGGCGTCCCTTGAAGAGAAGTTTTGGCTTCTTTTTGTTTTCCTTTGGTGGTAAGATTTTGTCTGGTTTGATCAAACCACTGAAGCCAATAATGAGGTAGAGAAGAAGGAATCACGCGAAGAAAAGTACGTGGAATTGATTCATCGGGTGGAAATCAATTGGGAAGATTTGGTGGAGTCTTCTGCTGCTGGTAGTAGTTGTCATTGACGTATTTGCTTTTTCCTAAACATTTGGAAAAGAAAATATGAATGACTCTATTCATCATCATTCAAATAACGTCTTGGCGACATCCAGCAATTATCAAGAATAACAAGATAAATTCTTGGTATAGTATTTTACGTGAAAGCAATATTTTGCAGTGTATGACTATTGATCAAGATCTTATATGCTGCACTATAAGAAATTTAGAAACAACGCTTATACGGAAGGTGCTACAACATAGTCGCAATAGCTAACAACTTTAAAAGAAACATCTAATCGTAGAACCTATCGTGAAAGAAATGACTGGAAACAACAAAAAAATTAATTAAGATCGAACGACCAAAGATCTAATAATCAAGTTTAAAACAACAACCAATTATATAACAACAAATGATATAACAACAACATCAAAACAAAATCCAATATTGAAAAGACGGAAATCTTCAAAATACCCATCCATGTTTGCTAAACTACAAATTTGCAATATGGCCCAAGTCTGAGCGATACAACTTTACGCAAACACAGCTGAAATTGGGAGATTTAACAAAATTACGGGCCAATGGATATTAGCGGTGCAAAAGCAAGTAATAACATCAAGCATGTAAAAATTTACTATCGACATAAGCAACTACTCAATAGAATTGCATGTTATTCACGGCTGCTTGCTACGAACACCCACCTAGCAAACATGGTATAATCCAAATCAAGGTATCTCAATGGACACTTGAAATCTCGTTGAAGTTGAGGCAAAAAAGATCAACGATGAAGAGACACGCTTCAGTTTATACTGATACAAATGTAAGTATAATTATGGCATCTTCATAAAACGTTTGAAAGTTAAACTTTTTGTAATTTAGACAGTTGATGACTACATATTGAAAACCGTAGTAAATCAAACTAATGGGAGTTTAAAAACAGTCATCGTACAATATTTAACAAATACGATGCCGTTTATTACCAGCATGCCTTTTGCTTCTACTAGCTTCTACTAGCGGAAATTTATAAATCAACATTATACCAATTTTACAAATACATCGTGGTTTGGTAAAAGCATCAAAATTAGCTTTTACTAGGGAACGCCAAGAAATTAACAAAATGTATGCAAACCAGACGAGAAAGTAACTTTATTTATTACGAGGCACGTATCAATGTAATTCAGGGATCATTCTTATGCTGACTAATTCTTTAGGCCATCTTTAATTTGTCAGCGGATGTCTAAAAATAACTGATGGGTTAAAGATCTTCTTGTTATATTTCAAAACATCGAACTCAATTGTAGCGAAGATCTCGGTAAAAGTCTCCAATGAGTCTTGTAGTAGTAACACCAACGAAGAAGAATTATCTGTAGCTATAAAGAGACTCGAACTGGATCAAGCAGCATTAGTTCTAGAGAAATATTAAAGTAATCTCTACTTTATTAAAGACAGTGCTAATAGCAAGCTCCAAATGAAAGGTAAAGCGAAGCATAATGTCTTGTGACGTTTTTATACTTATCTCCTTAGACCTCTTTAGCTTTACCGATGATCCAGAAACAAAACACCTTTAAAAAAAAACTCCTTACGTTTTGTCAGCGGCTAGTCTTCTGGAACAAAGCAGTTTTGACTTGCTGCATAATTCCAATCATGATACGCTTTCATGCAATACATTCTTTACACAACCCAGATGTAAAGTAAGGGTAACATAAGTAATAAAAAATACATAATAGTAATTAACACGTTTCACAGTTTGAATAGAAACTGGGTTCTTTATTCGACCCATGTACAAACATGGTCCAGAAATAGCAAAAACATCTTACTTTGCAGCGGTGATATGGAAGATGACGAATATAATTTATCATCTAGTTTGAATCATGGTCTGTCTTCATATCTGCATGTTTAATGCCACAAGTTGCAAACCAAAGGTAAACTACCAATTGAATACAAAAACGGCAAGATTTACTCAATTGAGCAGTAACTGGCAATCCCGCTAAACCAAACATCCAATACGGTTCAGCAAAATTTGTTATCAGTGGTACCGAAAAAAGCAAATTCGTCAAGCCTCTAATTATTATGAGGATACGTTTTCCAGTAACGGTGTTTTCATACAATCAGCTACCAACCACAAATGAAAAATAACCTGTGTGATTTAAAACTGATTTTTATAAACTCCGTCAGACACTGTGTCATCCCGCTGAACTAAGCAATAAAACGGTTCCAAAACAAATTCAACAACTTGTTTAAGTGGGTTTGAAGTCAAAAACAAATTTTATCGCGTTGTCATCAATTGTATTAGTGCATTCTTTCACACAACCAATCCATGTGATACGTCTCATAACCAAAGGTAAAGCGAATCAAAATTTTAAGATAATACGTTATACTAATTATGCTTATTAGGACTACTTATCAGCGCCGATACGGATGAACGCAAATACTAATGTCTTTTGTCAAATACCCCGGTGGGTGGTTTGTCACATAATATTGGACGTTTGGGTAAGCATACTATTTTTTTTAAAAAACAGGCGAAGCTTGGAATCATGGTTCTAATTCACATTGTCATGTAGATTCAGGAATTAAAAAAAACAAAGTTTACACATCTTTTCCTAATTCCTAAGCATAGTATATTTTTGTAAATAGGAGTAGTCTTACTATAAATAAAATTTACTCGCCTTAAATTGTACATAAAAAACTCTTTTTTAATAGCATATGGTTGATTTTCACACACTGCCACTTTCAAGGGTTAATGTCTTCAATATAATTTTACAGCTGCAGTTGTTTCAGGCAGAAAAAATAAAAAAAAAAAAGAAGGCGTGAGCATTTCGGATGCATTACTAGTGTTCGGAATAAAGGCCGAAACTCTCGAGCGAGCTTCGATCGTGTTCCAGTCGAAGCTCGCTCGGATGCGTTTTTCTGCAGCTCGAGCTCGCTCGAAGTTGCTTAAGCTCGGCTCGGTTGCAAATACGATAGCTCGAACTCGCTCGCCCTTTTTATTACACAAAGTGCACGTCAAAGTGATGTTAATTACAGAAAGTTATGATAATAAAATTGTTATTTATTGAAAGAGAAGTTGGAAAAAGAAAAAGAAAACTTTTTTTTTTAACCAGCCTTAACACCAAATTCGGATACTTAAATCAAACTATTACTGCAACTATAATTATAATACATTTGGATTTGTGAACATGAAAGCTTAAATTAATTCTGCTACGTCGTGTTACTATGGTTGCTGTAAAAATTTGGCTTAGTTGGGCATAGTGTGCAACACTGTATCATTTTCTATGGTAAATGTGTTTGTTGGTTGTACAATTAAATAAAAGTCCAAAGCATTTTAGTTGGAATTATTAGAGCATAAATAAAAAAAAATGATAAAGGGAAGAAAAGATTAAAATCAAGGGGAAATGCCATCTGTAGTCTTTCAAGGACCTTAACTTTAAAGTGACTACTATCGACATTTTAGCCGAGCAAGCATCGATCAAAGCTCGCTGGAACCCAAAAAAAGTGGCGCAAGTTCGAGTACAAAAACTCGGTTTGAGCTTCGTTCGAACTGGCGCAAGATCGGTGCAAGCTCGAAAAGTTCGAACACTATGCATTACACTGTTAAGCTGACAATTTTTTTTGCCAAAGTGTATTATAAAAGGGAAGTAATTAACCAATGCTTGTGATTAATAAATGCTGAAATGTTAAGAACATGACATTAGTACGACAAACGATATTAAGTAAAGTTATTTTTCAAAGGATAAAGAATAGAGCGGATGGGTTGTAAAAACAGAAGGAAAGAAAACACCCTATTTGAATGAGAATCTTTTTTTTTGTAATCTCCAAAGAATATAGTCGAAATAAACGACTAGACAGCTATACGCAGACAGCCACTTTTTCGAATCGGAACCAATGGCTAAGTTGATTATCATTTAGTGTTAACAGAATTATTCGTTCAAACTAATAGGATCAAGCGTTCACAGACGACCTTTTACTCAGACATCAACGGATAGTTATTTACAAGCCGTCTGCTGTTCTTCCGCTCGAATTTGTTACATTACTTATTTCGATGCCGTCTTTTATGTAGACGTCAGACAGAAATAAAAAAAAATTGATGTTGAGCAAATAAGGGGATTATCTTTCCTTTTAAGCTTTTCGTGTACTCGGTTGTTTCCCAGGCCTAGATACCAAAAGCGTAACAGATGTTGATTTTGGATTTTGCTTGGATGTGGGAATCATAAAACCTGTGGAGATAACTGTTTATATGATTTTGGCAATGACGATGTATGCTAAATATCGATACTTTCAATTAATCCCAGCATATAAATAATTTAAAGGCAACCGTTAGGTGGTCAATAAATTTAGGAGAAATAAATAAATAAATAAATATTCGTTAGTGATCAAATCTGTAATTTATAATGTGGTTACAAAAAAAAAGAATCATTGTCAACATTAAGATGGCCTATTAATCCCAAGGGTAAAAGGAAATGAAGAGACAAAATGCTGTTAGTCGTACGTCAAAAATGTCAGCTTCACGCCTGGTACAAGCTTTAGCGGCAACATAACCAACTACGTGTAATGCATTTTTTTCGACCAACATGTTTGATACAATCAAGGCAATTTCTTTTATTATGAGGGGGGAAACACTTTCAACATAGGACCGACTTACTGTATCTGCAAGGGGACGAATAATGCGTACAATGGAACGCTTGTTCAAAACAACATAGGCAACACACTACCCTTTTTCTATAAATATCATTACACACCATTGTGGATGCTTGGACCAACAAATAACCTGCGCCAGTGCAGCACGTTATATCAGTCAATCTGTATGCCACAAGTGATCCAAAAGGTTATATCCTTTTAAATCTGCAAATGTTATCCAAAAAGCGCCTTCCATTTGGTACATCCGATATTGCTTGAATGATATCGTTGGTTGTAACAGTACAAACTATTCGACCCTTGACTAATTGATTGCGACAACTACTAAGACATGACAATTTTTTAATACAAGGCGTTTTGTTTACTTTTTTTTAAAATACTCACATACTCCTTGTTTTTGAAAAAGTGATTCTTCTTGCCCAGATGTTCAACTATTCAACTTCGGTATTGGATCATCTAGGACTCAATTGCCATTGTTGACACAAATGATTCAGACGATTTTTCTTAATCTTCATCCTCACAAGAGTCAGCGTCCAAGATACCAGAAAGAAGTTATTTTTTGATATCTTGTCGCGTCATACGCATACACGAGTGTGTCAGCAATACCACCCCAGACAAGCACACCAGCACAGATAGCTACACTTACACCAAAAAATCCACCACCAGTACCGAGAGATTCACCACTTCCACCACACAGAACTTCACCAATACTACCACAGACATGTACACCAATACCGAGAGCTTTAACAATACAGAGGGGTTCACTTACAGCTTTCCAAATGTATTTGCACTATGGATGTTGCTTTTTTTATACTGGAAAGATAAATAATTGAGTTTAAAGGATACTTCAATAACTGTGTGAAAAAAACCGCAAGCTTACAATCCAACAATCCCGGTGTATCAAACCTGATGAAGAAACCTTGCTGCAGCAATAACATTACCTTGTTGCAATATTTATCCTTTGGGAAATATATGTATTCATTAGCGGCACTATGGCGGAAATAATGGCAACTATCTGCCATTTACTTCACGAAACTGCCATTTTTTTGGCGTGCAAAAGTGGCAGATATGATATTCTATAATAACAAATGAGGCACAGCTGCCATATTTTTGGCTGGCAAAAATGGCACCTTTAACAGTTGAATGAAGCCAAGAGGTTCACTGCTGCTGTTTTTTGGTTTTAAAAAATGGCATCTATTTTAGTTTGTTGAAGACAAATCATTCACAGCTTCCCTTTTCCTGGCTTGTAAAAGTGGCAGTTATGATATTCTATAATAACAAAACGTTCACAGCTGCCACTTTTTTTTAAACGGAAAACCCCTTAACCTTTCTTTCAGACCCATTCTTTTATATTTGGTAGGCTCACATTTTCTTATTCATTGTTATTATTGGCAGTAAAGCCCGTTTTATTGTATTGTTCATTTATATTTCAGTGGTGTATAGGAGGGTTTGATATAACTTTAACCTTTTTATTTAGGTTTGTGGTTGTATACATGGCAATAAGATATACCATTATAATGCTTGGATGTTACTTTAGCTTACCTTTGATTCTCTTAACACTCTATAAAGGTATTGTTAGAAAATAGTAATATTGTTATTAATTCTGTATTTTATTACCAGCCTTAAGTTCTGATGTCGATGATTATTTGACCGGTGGTGTTCCTAAAATGTCGTCGTTTGAGTGAAAGGTACACAGAATAAATAGCCTATATGTAAGCAGTATGATATCAATAAGAATAAAACATAACTTTTTGAAGGCTATTTACCTGTAAAGATAGAACCGTCTATTGATGAGAACCATTATCTATGGAAAATGGTTATATTATGAAGACCTACTTTAGTTTGATCAAAATAAAAAAAATAGGCTAAATTTTTATCTAAAAAAAAACCCTTTAGTTTTTTATACAGATTACATGTCATTGCTTCAGTCATTGCAAACATACTCAATTCCAATATATTTGTTCACACTTTCCGTTATTTTGAAGGGGCTATATACCCTTACCATCATTATTTGAAGGCTATTTATTTTAAAAGATAAATAAAAGTAAAAGAAAGAGAGAAAAAATTGTAAGCTAAAAGAACGCTAAAATACACACTAATAAAGAAGCTAAAATCCAGAATGGACCAATCATGTCGACCAGACACGACTATTATCTTCTTCTGGTTCTTTTACGTGAAGGTTCATTCGCTACCTCTGGTGGAGGAGAACTGTATAAAAAATATTTATCGCATATGAGTATACATATATCATGCATGAAAAACAATAAAAAAAATTACAGCACGTCCGCTATGATGGGGGACTCATCGCGACCCATATCTTCGAAAGCGTCATTGATAGAGTGTGAACTATCGAGATCTTGTTGATTCTACATTTTTATACTTTGTTATTGATATTTATGTAACAAACCGCTAAAGAACCTTTTACTGTTATCCTTCTTCTGTGTGTTTGGTTGTCACTTTTAAAGCTCTCCCTTAACAAGCTTTTAGCATACCACATTCTCTTACACTGGTAAATTTTGAATCCCTTGTCATTCGAAGTTTTTCCAGGCGCAATATCTTTTTTTTTTAAAAAAAAATAAGTAAAAAAATGGCAACTTGTTACCATTTGCTTCACAAGCGCAAAAAATCATTTTTTATACCGTAACCCATCAAATTCGGATCAATATTGCATCGATTTTTTGGCATATAGCAATCTAATTTTAACTTTGAGATAGTTTCTATAACATCTAAACTACATATTGACGGTTCCAGAAATGTTTTTGAAGCATTTTTGTTTTTTTTATGATATTATGATCATTTGTATCAATCTTTTGCTCGAATCTTATTGGCTGGGGATATCGAGCAAATAAAAAAAATGGCAGTTATGTTGCCATTTAATTCACAGCTGCTGGTATGTCCACCATAGTGCGGGTAGTAGATGTCATAAACCGCCTAGGTTTAAGTTGCATATAATCATGCAAAATGTCTCAGATTATTATTGAAACCAAGCTAGCTCATTGTCCTTGTGCAACCTGCTCCCTGTTCTCTGTCTTCTGTCACACATGTCACGTCGAATATCACTATTGTATCCTGTTTTACGTCTCTGTTTTAAATAATGTATCTATGTTATCCCTTGTCCTTGTAAAACCCATTTAACATCCGTTTCCTTTGTACCTTTGCCTTTAAACTCCCTTGTAAAACATTAATAATGTCAGCCGATGTTATCCTCTGTATATATCCCGGACATTATCTGTATCTATGCCCGCTACCCCAAGGATGTCCCAAACGCAGTATGAATAATAATCTTTGTCTGTAAATCTGATCCCGAACTCTTGCTTACCCGACCAGCCAATTAAGATAAATAACAGCATGTTTATTTATTCTTTTTTCTGTATTCAAAATCTGATTTATTTTTCCAGTTTCTTTGAATAAACCTTTTTCTATTTTCATTCCTGTTTATATATATATATATTAATACTAACGCATACATAATTTTTACTTCTCCCTGTGCTAAAACCACATAATAGATACTACTGTCTACAAAAGGAAAGATGTTTCACGGATAAAAGATCGGGATTACGTGACCCTGCGTCATGAAAATTTCTTCATTACAACACAAGTCTAGGCTCCGACCAATGAGAGATCAGAGAACTTAAGGAACAATAATAAATCAAGGACAGCTATCTTACGATCTTCAATAAATCAAATGAATGGTCCATCATATAAAACTACGATGGATCTGAGCTGTCAAAAATACAAGCCAAAATATCTTCAATCTTCTATAAATATCAGGGCAAACCTGCCCGTCTAGTTAGCTCTTAATCAATTTTTATACAAATAAATCCACAAGACTTATAATTGTATTCTCTTTGTTTTTTATCTATTTTTTTTTGTAAAACTATTCTCTCTAAAAGTCTATTTTTACTACACTTTTTTTTCTTTTTTTTCTAAAAAAGGAAAAAATGAAAAAAATGAAAAAAAGTACTTTACAAGTCTCCTTACACCAACCCCTTTTTTCTTGTTCTTTTTTTGAACATTTAACCTTTTATCTTGATTTGTCTGCAACAGATTTACCAATATTGACTCCATTTCACCAGAATGACCTTAAACTTGTTGTCTCATCTACTCTTGGCCAACATGTCGATTTCATCTTTCGTCTTTAGTGTACAAAAAAAAAGTGATTTTAACAAACCTACTTTGCCACTTATCACGTTAAAGATCATGATTTGCTCAATTTCCATGGCTCGCTAATTCATTCTTAACAGGGTTCTACTCCTGTGTTTTTGGCACTCTTTTCAAATGCGATGGGTGACGACTACGTTGTTAATTGTGAAAAGCCGACTTTAAGTAATCAAAAATAACGTTCATATGAACGGGTATATGGCACATGCCATTATTGCCAATACGATGGGTCGGTACAGAGTTCCAGTTCAGTGACTGTTACTTGCCTTCTTTTTTAAATTCGATGGGTCGCCACTCCATCGGTTACCGAGTTAAGCTTCAGTATTTTTTAGTTACCTTCTAGTTTAATGCGATGGGTCGTCACTCGTTCGTCAACAGAGTTCTGCTTCTGTATAAAATAAAATGTAGATTCTGACAATGTGAATCTCCTTAATCTGTTCATGCCTTGTTTTCTTAAATAGCGAGTAAGATTGAGACATTGCAAAAGAATTTACAATTGAGATAACACGCCCGCATGGGTAGGGCAGTGATGTCATAAAGACTGTTGACGCAAAAAGTTATACAAAAGACACCATGATTCGGGTGATCTTGTTCTTTATGATCGGTACAGCGTTAAGCCACAATACGACAATTCAAGCGCGGTCCGTGCGCTAAGTTGCTCATTGTTTGAATACCAGTCATAAGCCCTTTGGCATGGAAATCACAAGTCGATTTCATAGACTGCCAAATTGGAAAAATGAGAACAAAGGTGATCCAATTTCTACTCCCGGTAATATTTCGACAGGTCTAAATAGCAACATTTATAACAGTTAGACAGCTGTTATAATCGTTAACGGGATTAGACTTTCAGTGCCATGATGTTAACATGTTGCTATGTCGTCATTGCTGTCCTATTGTTTTTGGTTAATTAATCTCATGAACATGCTTCAGGAGAACCCACAGACTTAAGCTTCGGGAAGACTTAAAATCTGCCCAACAGTCAACATTTATTTACAATGCGAACAACACAAGACATAATGTACAATAGGTCACAACAAAGAAGATCCCAGGTTCAGCATTAGATCTTGTAGGATTAGGCTGGGCCATTCACCAAAAAACAGAATGAGGCATTTCTAGCGCTGCAATGAATATGGCTAGCTGATCTTGAAAAATGACCTAGGATTTTACAGGTGTGGATTTTGCACTACAGTATTTTAATCATGCGCCACTATAAATAAAATGTTCACGTGATCAGTGTCACTGGTGTATACTCTCCACAGTGTATTAAGCTAAGCATACAGCCTATAAGCACTGCTATTATAAGCGTAAGCGTTGGCTTGAGGCTGTTTTGACCATGGTCTATATTGTTTTATCGAAAAACATTTTGTTTGGTAAAAATGTGCGCGCGTACGCTAGCTTGAAAACTATTGTTGTGTTTTTGATCTCTGACCTCTGTGGCATGTACAATCAGAGGAAACAGACTGGTTTTTCTTGAAACGATTTGATTAAAAATGACGTTTTATAATTTCCCTGTTAAAGTATGGTCACTGGTTATTAAAATTTTACTTAGACATCCCCATACGCAAAATACGTAGACAAATTAGGCGCATTTTCTGGGCCAATATTTAAAACATTCAATATGTAAAAACCATACGGTGTCTAATAAAAACTAGTTTTTTAATTATGGGCCGAATATAATTTGTCTGGTAACAAAAACTGCTCTAAAAATATAATAAGTTTAAAGAAGATTAAATCTGGCCTATAGTTATATAGAAACACTTTTATTCCATCTACAGGAAGGGCAGCCACATGGTTGACTTGTTAAATTTGTCATTTTCCTCGAGGTAAATCCTTTGTGTTCTGGTCGATTTCAGGTGTTTTGAAAAAAATCATAAAATTAAAATCTAATTAGTTATTCAATTTGATATTGTCAATAATTCTGAGTATTTTTTTAGCGTTAAAGGACATACAGGATGACAGTTTACTATACAAAAAAGTCAGTTTAAAAAAAGCTTGTTAAGTGAAAAAAAGGACCAGGAATAGTGTTCGAACTTTTCGATCTTGCACCAATTTTGCGGCAGCTCGAACGAAGCTAGAACCGAGTTTTTGTAATCGAGCTTGTGCCACTTGTTTTGGATTCGCGCGAGCATCAACCGAAGCTCGCTCGGCTAAAATGTCGATAGTAGTCACTTTAAAGTTAACGTGCTTGAAAGACTAGTATGGCATTTCCCCTTGATTTTACTCTTTTCTTCCTTTTACCATTTTTTTTTATTTGTGCTCTAATAATTCCAACTAAAACGCCCTAAAGTTTTATTTAATTGTACAACTATCAAACACATTTAACACACAAAATGATACAATGTTACACACTAAACCTAACTAAGCGAAATATTTACAGCAACCATAGTACCATGACTTTGCAGAATCGATTTAAACCTTCATGTTCACAAATCCAACTGTATTATATTAATAGATGCAGTAGCAGTTTCAGTTAAGTGTTCGAATTTGGTGTTAATGCTGGAAAAAAAGTTTTTTTTTTCGTTTAACTTTCTAATGATGACACATGTTCGAATGGGATCCTAATGAAAACCCAGAAAACTATAGCAATAGTTTTTCGCAATACTTACAATAGCAGTTACAACTTAGAGCGTAGAACGAAATTATTTCGCAATTGCAGAAATGTAACAAAACAATAACATTCTCTATTTATGGAATAATTGCCAATGATGGCGTACAAGCACAGGTTGTAAAACTGTTACAACCAAAAACTTCTCTAATATTAATTATCCCGTCAAGGTATTTGTAAATTTGGAGTGAAAATAAATGGTTGTTATTGCAAAAGATTGAAAATAAGACAACAATCGGAACCATAGAAAACATATATAAAGGGAAGTGTAAAGCTTATGTCTTTTTCGCACCGTCACCATTTAACTGGAAACTCCGACCTATTAATCAGTGATATGGCCTATATCTTAAGTTTCGAAAACAACACTGGTGATAATGATCTGTCTGTGATTACTGATCGTCAAATGACCAAAATTTTTCTATTTCTGCTTGTTATCCAATGTCAACCAGCAATATGATCCTTTAGTTTTAATTCAATCGAGATACTTGAAAGGCGATGGGGTAGTCGTTAAAAGAAACAAAATCTGGAGATTTTATCCAGTGTCCATTACTTCCCGACTCCAGGTGTATTAATTCAAAACATACGAAAGAATATCGGCTACGTATATCAGTATGGCTATTCAATTATTGTTAAGAAATTCTATGAACAAGACATTTTATATGTGCTATTTTGATGGAGCCCATGGATGTCATAAGCATTAAGAGTCCAAGAACTTCAATACCTCTGCAACTAGAAGACATTTAGAGGATGTTCCTGGTCTAACAATGACGACAGGTAATGAACAGTCTAAAATTTTTCCTACTATTTCATACTTGCATGAATAATTAGCTGCTTTAACTCAAGTATCTACAACATCATCAATTGTTTCATTCCTGTCCCCGATTCAAAAGCCTGTCGACAGATTTATTTTCCAAAAGAGACTCATCAATTTTATAACCCATCAAAGATTGCTGTTCAACGTAGTAGACAAAAATGTTTTTGAAGAGTTATTAAACACGTGCCAAAAAAGCAACAAAGCCAGCAACAGTAAGACTCCCATCAGAAGAAACTGTAAAAACACTTATTTCGAAGGAATTATTGTGTTTTAAGGTAAGGTTTTAAATTATAAAAAGACTATATGAGTAGTTTGAGACTGTTTATA